ATTTGTCTGAATGTTTTTGCCTCCCTGAAATAAATTGTAACATATTTTTGTCACAAAGAAACTGTTTATGCGCATTTGTCACCTTGAGGTACTTGTACGCCAGTATTCGTCACGATGTGTACACAGGCATTTGTCACCTTGAAGTATTTGTACGCCAGTATTCGTCACGATGTGTACACAGGCATTTGTCACCTTGAAGTATTTGTACGCCAGTATTCGTCACGATGTGTACACAGGCATTTGTCACCTTGAGGTACTTGTACGCCAGTATTCGTCACGACGTGTACACAGGCATTTGTCACCTTGAAGTATTTGTACGCCAGTATTCGTCACGACATGCGTACACAGGCATTTGTCACCTTGAAGTATTTGTACGCCAGTATTCGTCACGATGTGTACACAGGCATTTGTCACCTTGAGGTATTTGTACGCCAGTATTCGTCACGACGTGTACACAGGCATTTGTCACCTTGAGGTATTTGTACGCCAGTATTCTTCACGACATGTGTGTACAGGCATTTGTCACCTTGAGGTATTTGTACGCCAGTATTTGTCACGTGTACACAGGCATTTGTCACCTTGAAGTATTTGTACGCCAGTATTCGTCACGACATGTGTACACAGGCATTTGTCACCTTGAGCTATTTGTATGCCAGTATTCGTCACGACGTGTACACAGGCATTTGTCACCTTGAGGTACTTGTACGCCAGTATTCGTCACGACGTGTACACAGGCATTTGTCACCTTGAAGTATTTGTACGCCAGTATTCTTCACGACATGTGTGTACAGGCATTTGTCACCTTGAGGTATTTGTATGCCAGTATTTGTCACGTGTACACAGGCATTTGTCACCTTGAGGTATTTGTACGCCAGTATTCGTCACGACGTGTACACAGGCATTTGTCACCTTGAGGTATTTGTACGCCAGTATTTGTCACGTGTACACAGGCATTTGTCACCTTGAAGTATTTGTACGCCAGTATTCGTCACGACATGTGTACACAGGCATTTGTCACCTTGAAGTATTTGTACGCCAGTATTCGTCACGATGTGTACACAGGCATTTGTCACCTTGAGGTACTTGTACGACAGTATTCGTCACGACGTGTACACAGGCATTTGTCACCTTGAAGTATTTGTACGCCAGTATTCGTCACGACATGCGTACACAGGCATTTGTCACCTTGAAGTATTTGTACGCCAGTATTCGTCACGATGTGTACACAGGCATTTGTCACCTTGAGGTATTTGTACGCCAGTATTCGTCACGACGTGTACACAGGCATTTGTCACCTTGAGGTATTTGTACGCCAGTATTCTTCACGACATGTGTGTACAGGCATTTGTCACCTTGAGGTATTTGTACGCCAGTATTTGTCACGTGTACACAGGCATTTGTCACCTTGAAGTATTTGTACGCCAGTATTCGTCACGACATGTGTACACAGGCATTTGTCACCTTGAGCTATTTGTATGCCAGTATTCGTCACGACGTGTACACAGGCATTTGTCACCTTGAGGTACTTGTACGCCAGTATTCGTCACGACGTGTACACAGGCATTTGTCACCTTGAAGTATTTGTACGCCAGTATTCTTCACGACATGTGTGTACAGGCATTTGTCACCTTGAGGTATTTGTATGCCAGTATTTGTCACGTGTAGACAGGCATTTGTCACCTTGAGGTATTTGTACGCCAGTATTCGTCACGACGTGTACACAGGCATTTGTCACCTTGAGGTATTTGTACGCCAGTATTTGTCACGTGTACACAGGCATTTGTCACCTTGAAGTATTTGTACGCCAGTATTCGTCACGACATGTGTACACAGGCATTTGTCACCTGGAGATACTTGTGCATGGGTTTTAGTCACATGGTTCATATAAAACTTAACCCAACAATTTTAAGGCCTTTTAAGGCAATGATCACATTTCATAAGGATAAATATAAAACACAACACTACCTTTGAACAGCTCCCTTAGGAAATAATACTCATATTTAATTGTGATAAGGACGTAAAAAAAGACCACATTATTAAAATATTTATGTCCACACAACTGTGTTAATTTTATTATCAATAGGCTAATTTTGTCATCATGCTTAATTTGAGAAAGAGATATTAAACAGCAGAAAAAATGGTTGCCAAACTCAAGGCATTTTGAAAGCATCCTATCCAATTCTGATAGCTTTTATAGTGCTCGCCCATCAACGTACCATGCCGCAGTTTAACATGGATACCCGAGAGAAAATCCTGGTTTAACCATAATGCCAAGCACAGGCAGGGTAACAACAGATACATCTTTTAACTCTTTTAAGGTTTTGTCAAGGCAAGTCCAAATTTCAGGTCTGTTTCAGGTCTGAAAACAATATTTAATGCCTTTTCACCTTGAGACGTGTACATTGAGGTTGGCTTCCCACAAACATTGCACGAGATTTCATCTGGAGATATTTATGTGTAAACTTCAGTTGTTGTCCATGTGAAGGCTTGTTCTAATAAGGTTAAATATATCAAAACAATATGCAGAATAAACATTTTTGGCCATGGTAAAACATTGCACCACTGGTCACATAAGCTGTCAAAGTTGACTAAAAGTGCCTCCTTCACCTTATGGGGTGAGGTGAAATGGGGTTTGAATTCAAGATTATCGCACTTAAATGGTGATATGCATATACTTGTACTAGTCTTAACTAATGTGGTTTTAGTGCTAGCCCACCATGATACCGTGCCTCAGTTGAACATGGACAGTAGACAGATTCCGTGGCAACCAGCCATTGTTTTCTCTCTTAATTGCTGAGCAACTGGCAGGGTCATGACATGTTCTATTGTGTGCCAGTCTTTCACGTTTGATACAAAATGTGCCATGATCGAAATATCAATCATAACCCAATGAATTTGTTAAAGGAAAAATATTGTTTAAAATATATTTAAAGCGGCACATTCTTGATGGCCTGAAGCCCATGTCAAGTCTAGATGGTGACAATGTTATTACTGGGGAATATTCTGTATATAAAACTTAGATATTATCTTTGTGTATTAAGAGCATTATTAAATGCCCGATTTAAATGTGATAGACACAAAGAGTGAAGTTTGATGGACAAAAATAAAATTGTGCCAAACCCTGTCTACCTTTTTAAACAAAGAGCAAGAAAGTATTTCTTTTAACGTAACCTTTATTCAAGTTCAACAAATTTCATTATGACATATAATTGGGGTACCGACATCATCTGTCGCACAATAAATGCAGAAGTTTCATGCATAATGTCGTCATAATACACATCGTTTACAATCTGTAAATACAACAGTAACTTTGTACAAATATACTCCCTCAGTGAGTGAGATGGCGTATACACAGCTCTTAAGCACTATTTCAGCAATATCAGGGCATGGGACACCAGAAATCAGCACATTGTACCCATGTAGGGAATTGAACCCGGCCTTCGACGTGACAAGCGAACACTTGAACCACGAGGCTAGACCACCTTCAGTACTCCCTCAGGCATGGAGGCAATGTCTCGTACAAACTGCAGGAAGCCCTGTAATCACATGAGTTGTCCATGCTTTGAGACAAGTGAATTCCAATATTAGATAAGTGACAATGAGTTTTCTGCCATAACCATAAAGTTTGTTGTTAAACGCCACACTGGGCAATATTCCAGCTCTATGAAAGCAGTCTGGAGCAGACAAACCAGTGATTGATATTATGAGTGAGTGAGTGAGTATGGTTCTACGCCGCTTTTAGCAATATTCCAGAAATATCACAACAGGGGACACCAGAAATGGGCTTCACACATTGTACCCATGTCGGGAATCGAACCCGGGTCTTCCGTATGACAAGCGAACACTTTAACCACTAGGCTACCCGATTGATATTATGAGAATATCCCACACTGTCGGAGTATGATGAAACCTGAAACCCTGATCTATTTAATCGCCTCGTACACCCAGCATAGGCTGCTACAGTATGTCCCGACAACACCACAGTGACGGTTACCTCAAGCCATAAGTTGAAATAATGGAGTCTGACTCCACAATGTATCTGTACTCAAGTGCTAATGCTTACTCAATGATGTAACAAAAGTCAATATCTCTTCTTGTTTGACAATTCATTGCATGACATGATCCAAAATAACAAACAATATGAAATATTTCATTAACAACACAATTCTGGGAATTGGAGGCGCCATGATAACAACTGGGATGAGTGAGTGAGTGAGTGAGTGAGTTGGGTTTAACGCCGTTTTTAACAAAATTCCAGTCATATCATGGTGCGTCAGCTTAATGTTGGAGGAAAGCCCGAAGTGATGCAGGTCTTAGCCGTTTACAACTCCGGTGAAACCCACAAGCACGGGTATGGTGCTGACAAACCTAGAAACATAATCGGAGCGAACCGTGATTCAAACCCACAATCATAGGTTTCTGGCGAGTCGAAGGTCGAAGGGATGCAACTCTGCACAGCGAATCGCGGTGCCTTAGACGACTGGGCCCCCCGTGCCCCAACAACTGGGATGAGGTTGCCTGGCAACATGTGCCGTCACACAGACAGCCACAGGAGATGTCAAGTTGTAAACTCATGGCGACATGGTGGTTTTAACAAATCGTACATTGTTCTTGTAAGACGAAGTTATAAAGAGTGAGGGCCCCGTTCAACGAAGTGTACTTATCTCTGTGACTATTGCAAACACATGTTTTGTCAGAAAGATAAGATCTCTTTGTGGAATGTGCACCAGATCATAGACAAGTTCTTAACCCTGGTGCTGTTATTATGAGAAACATCCCACACCATCTTGCTATGATTACATGCAATCAACCAAGTCCCGAATACCTGACCACTCAATCCATCTAGTCGCCCCTTAGGACAAGCAGGGGTTGCTGGTGACCAATAAAAAATAATCTTAACCTGGAATCACCATGCTTGTCGTAAGAGGCGACTAATGGGGTCGGGTGGTCAGGCTCACTGACTTGGTTGATGCATGTCATCGTATCCCAATTTCTTAGATTGATGCTCATGATGTCAATCACTGGATTGTCTGGTGCAGACTCGATTATTTACAGACCGCTGTCATATACGTGGAATATTGCTGCATGCGGCTTTAAACAACAAACGAATAATAAGGGCAACATATCTGCCACATGTGCATATGTGTTATATGTTGGTGGTGGGTCATTACAATGATGTATTTGACAAAGCAGGATGTTGTTCACAAACAAAAGACCTCGAATCCACACTTCCTCCGTACGCTCACACAAGACATAACAAACAGAATATGATCGAGCTAACATGGGTGATGTTTGATAACAATGTTTGAATCAACATCAAAATATCGCTACAATATGATCATCCATGTTATCTTTAGTTAAGTTTCAAAATACCACTGAAAGATCATGATATACTGCATATATCCACTGTTGTGAAATGAGCTGCATCAACTCCTGGTGTCTGCCCCTCCAAGGGATCCTCGGTAGCTGCTCTGTCCTGGAAGCCCCACAGACAAGTCTTTGACAACAACACTGCACCATGGACGCTGGTCTTACACTGGTGTTGTCCGCGGGGGTCCAACCCGCTGTCTCCTCTCCGTCTCCAGCTGCTTGGCTCTCGTCCACAGGTCAAGGGTCGGACAGGTCTGGCAGTGACTCAAGGTCAACAACCTAAAGGACAATAATTACCAACTGGCATTATAACCCATGACGAGGAGACACACTGCGAAGTACAGGCAAAAATGTTTGAGCACAGCAGGTCTTTATTTACTCAAGATTCCAGACCATTCTTATAGTGCCCTTGGCAGGCAATTGGGTATTTTACCCCTTTAGTTTGCTCAAACTGATGAAATACAAGCCCCCTCTGCAAGGCCATAACATTAGTTACCATATTAACATGAATCGGGAAATTTGTAATTCCAAATTTGGGCCTTTTTTTACATTTGCTGCAGACTTGGGGCTGAATAACGGCCTGTGAGCAGGTGCAGATAAATCCCTGCACAGCCAAAGAGGCATTACAAACTGGGATGAAAAGACGCAGAAGAAAGCACAAGTCTAATGTGTGGGCAGGGCAAATGTGATGCAGGTCGTCGATGCTGACCACAACGGTAATATGACCCTTTCAAAGAATTGTATGAGTTAATGACAAATAGATATTTATTAAACTGATATTAAAGTCTGATTACTTGCAAATTTTGTGTAGGGACTTTCTTTACTGTTACTATCACTATTCCACTAGCTTCCCTAGTTTTGATGTATATATGGTCAGTTCTAACTCATACATCTAGAGGGAGATGGTACCAATAGCACAAAACTCAATCTCATTAAAATCAGATCTTTGTACTCACTACCGCTAAACAAAGATCTGAGGACATCTCATTAGGGGTCACGTCAGAACGACCTTTCATCCGACCAATCAGAGCGTCGCTTACCAGATCATGAAAGTGACAGTCGGAATGTGTTTTCTAATTATGCAACAATGAAATATTTAACATGGGGTATTCCAAATGATAGTTACAGGTTTTATGATTATAACCATACAATCTAGGCCATCTATAAGCCATTCCAGAGTGTTCTTCTTATCAGTTTTAATTTTTTTAATCGAGAATATACCAAAATATGTTTCGAAGCGTAGTTGCCAGTTTGAAACTAGTGTTCTAAAGCTCGAGAAAGCTGCCTTCTGATTGGCTAATGTCGATTTCTTGTCAGTCATTTCATTGGTCGGTCAAAATTCGCAAAAGGTCGTTCTGACGTGACCCATAATGGGATGTCCTCAGATCTTTGTTGAGCAGTAGCGAGAACTAAGATCTGATTTTAATGAGATTGCACAAAACTTAACTTCTTATTTGTTACCATTGTAGGCCTATCATAGAATTTGTCATGAAAAAAATACAATGGAATAAATCCGTAGTGCACATCGGTTACTTGTTTACCGTTACTGGCTTCTGACAAGAAACTACATCAGTGGAAGTTGGCACTGTGGGATCAAGGTGGTGATTCTCATCTCACCTGACTAGACTCAGCAGACTGTGGAAGTTGTCAACTGTCATGCACTTGGGGTTATCCTTCCTTGTCGTCACGAAGTCATCCTGGATGAGCTGCAAGCAGGAGGATGCTGCGTGATGTTATGTTCACTGCGTGTTCTTGTGAGTGAGTGAGTGAGTGAGGTTTTACGCCGCTTTTAGCAATATTCCAGCAATATCACAGCGAGGGACACCAGAAATGGGCTTCACACATTGTACCCATGTCGGGAATCGAATCCGGGTCTTAGGCGTGACGAGCAAACGCTTAAACCACTAGGCTACCCGACCGCCCCAAGAGTGAGTGAGTGAGTGAGTGAGTGAGTGAGTGAGTGAGTGAGTGAGTGAGTGAGTGAGTTGGATTTGGTGCTGCTTTGCGCTATGGACAGTATTCCTGATAAAGCATAGTGCATCAGCTTACGCATGTCTGCGGGAGGGAAGCCCAAACCTAGAAACATAATTGGCTTGAACTGGCATTCGAACCCGTGATCCTTGGTTTCTGTCTTGCCCAAGAGACACAACACTGCAGCGCAAAAAACAGTGAGTGCATGTTGTGTAAAGTTGCCGTCAGCTGTCAGGCAAACCAATAGTCACAAGCTGTGAATCTAAAGTTCGGCTCCAGGAGTGACTTGGGTTAAACGCCGCTTTTAACATTATTCCAGTTATATCACGGTGTGTCAGCTTAATGTGGAAGAAAAGCCCGAAGTGATGCAGGTCTCAGACGTTTACAACTTCATTGAAACTCACGAGCACGGATACGGTGCTAACAAACCTAGAAATATAATCGGGGCGAACCAGGATTCAAACCCACAATCATAGGTTTCTGGCGTGCCCAAGGGATGCAACTCTGCACAGAGAATCATGGTGCCCAAGACAACTGGGCCACCGGTGTCCCTTTTGGCTCCAAGAAGCAACATCTGGAGGTTGGACTGTCAGACACCTTGCAATAGTAAGAATGGGGAGGTAGGGGTGCTCAATTCTCAACTAACTTGTAAAGGGGAATGCTTGTAAGTGGCAGTGTGATCATATCCAGGACAGCTTGGGTTACAACGGCAGTGAATGTAACTACACCATCACATGGAACAAGTACACGGGATGTTTGAGATAATCACATAAAAAAGTAAGTGCTTCCAATTGCTGGAGACAGCCTCCATGGTCTAGCGGAAAGAGCATCTGGAGAGCGGAGAGCGCAAGGTTGGTGGTTTGATACACATCTTACCACATGGCGTTAAATCTCAATCAACTTCAACAACAACATTTTAACAGGTGATAGCTCCCTTGACCTGGAGCCCTGGACTACTGTTGTTATATGCAACTTCCCATGTCATTCGTGACCAACTCGTGTTATTCCGGGACAAGCCGAATATGACTCGCGTGCCTTTAGTGGCCATTTATAGGAGTGGGTTCCGTCTAAGCACAAACGGACATAGTTAAAAGAATTGTCAACTTGTTGACAGATGATTCATGTATATTTGCCCTATTTCAGTTGCTATTTGAAACACATTGGGAATTACGGTATTCATACAGTTTGATTGAACACATTTAACTGTAAAGGGTATATTTTTAGATGCAAGACATGTGTAAAAGCAAACATCATTCCTGAGGGATTCTTTGGCTGAAGTACTTGAATTCATAAGCACATTCATTTTCGCACATAACATTCATCAATAGGGGGACGAGTCTTCATGCAGGTTACAGAACGGGGCGAGTGGTGATGAATGCGTCCCCCGTATACAACTATTGTGGAGTGCCCAGACCCCGCTGACCTTCTGTAAGTCGTCAGAGATGGAGTACTCCAGCTGCTTGGTGAGAGTGAAGTAGACTCGTAGCTTGCCCAGCAACTCATCCGTCAGCCTTGCATCAAGTTGACTGAAGTACGACCTCAGGTCATCCGGATTCTGGCGCTTCTCCAGCTTTGTGTGGCAGTCTTTCTGAAAGTAGAACGAACATTGCATGGTTTACTATGAGATAATGTCAACACTTATCTAGTTTAAATTATTTAAAAACAAAACCTGACAGAAAAACAAAGCAAGACAAATAGTGAGAAGGGCTCACTAAACCCCACAACTTTGACTCCAAACATGAAAAAAGCAATATTTTCTCAGAAAATACACTTCGATCTACACCTCTCCTTTTGGTATAGAAACTGTACCCCTAATTGGAAAAGAATCCATGAGGTAGTTTTCAAGTCTTAGGTCGCACAAATGTTGGAAGCAAAAAAAATATTCTAAGTTCACAACATGAAAAGCATCCTACTTTTTCAGAAATCGACATATCAAAATCAACATCAAACTTTGCACTGCACCTCTTCTATTAGTATGGAAACTGTTCCCTCAATTTAAAAAGAATCCATTCAGATGTTTTCTAGTTATAGGTCACACAAATGTTTAAGTAAAAACATTCTAGTAAAAAAAATGAAAATAAAAGGTGTACTTTTTTTGAAAATCCAAATATTGAAATCAACCTTCGCACCACACGTCTCCTATAGGTATAAAAAGTGTTCACCAAGTTTGAAGGAATCTATGTAGTAATTTTCTTGTCATAGATCACAAGAAAAGGTATCCTCGGAAGGACAGACGGAATTCCTTGGTAGGTCGGAGTTATCATAAGAACAATGTCCTGCAACTCCATCCCACTGATACAACCACAGGTGATTTATCAAAATGTCAAACTCAGAAGTAACACAAAGATCATGATTGTACTAAAATAAAAATAGTAAGTACATTAGGATTGTGAACACTTGAACAGAGCCTCAGTCGTACATTTCCTCAGGTTGTACAATAGAAGCTTAACCTTTGGCTCATGCTAAACTCTACACGTTAAAGTGCCACCCATCAGTAATGGCAAACACCAGAAATGACATCATTGACTGAAACAAGGTGGTGAACAGAGACGTACTGGTAACAGAGACTCGCCCTCCGACAGCACCAACACGTTGACATTGGTCGGGAACTCCTGCGTGTGGTAGTTGAAGTCGTACTCAACCTTCGCCCATTTGATCAGGTTGCCCAGCGCTGTGATGTTCTTCAGACCTGACATAACAGAAAGTAATGTTAATCTTCATAATCTTAAGCTGTTTTCGTTATGGAAAGAGTGACTGTTGTTGTCTGCAGCAGTCAGATACTGTAGAGCAATACAAAATTATTTGGAGTCTTGCAGAATCCATGAGTTCTGCCAAGTATATATTGACTTAAAAAAACAAAAACAAATATGATAAGCAAAAATTTTATACAAGTCTGAGAAGACATCAATGCAAGTTACTGAAAAACTTCTTAAATACACAGAATTGACTTCAGTGTTCTTTTGCATTTACTGACACATACATAAAAAAATGATGCGCATACTATTAAGGCAAAGTAGCCACTCCGGTTTTTACATTCGTAAATTCAAAAACACAAAAATATATTGAAGTCAATTCTTATAAATAAATGTCAACAATAACATAAACACCACCAAATCTGCAGATAACAATATAAAATCTGTGACCTCATTTTGTGCAATAATGCAAAATACAAGCCCCACTCATTTGATTTTGGGCCAATCAGGAAATAGCAGTCTGTTAGAGGGAGTAGTCTTAATTTTTAGGTTAACCAATCGAATACCACAATATCACTTCCAATTTATTTATTACTTTTGAAAACCGATACAGAACCAAAACAGCCTAATGTGGGGCTGTCAGACCGACCTTGTGCGAACTTTGATCGACCAATGGAATGACCAATCAGAAGGCAGCTTTCTCGTGCTTTACGGCACTAATTTCAAATTGGCGACTACGCTTGGAAACATATTTTGACAATTTCTTGATTACAAATTTGAAACTTAAACAAAAGAACATTCTGGAATGGCTAATAGATGGTCTAGATTGTATGGATTCAGTCGTTAAACCCGTAACAATCATTCGGAATACCCCGTGTTAAAGTTTTCGAGGTTGTATGATTAGAAATCACATTCTGACTGTCACTTTCGTGATCTGGTAAGCGATGCTCTGATTGGTCGGATGAAAGGTCGTTCTGACGTGACCCCTAATGGAATGTCTTCAGATCTTTGTTTAGCGGTAGCGAGGACTAAGGTCTGATTTTAATGAGATTGGGGCAAACTAGAATTCGAACCCACACCGTAACATGAATTGAGACATGGGTAGGCTTAATGTGTCATCAAGGTGTAAACTGAGATGTATAGATACATCAGTGTATCATGTGACCACCAGCACCTCCAGGACAGACAATGTCTGCCTCTGTACGGTGGTTGTTGCTGGTGTGCACCTACCATCCGGGTTGAGCTGGCCTGGCTGCAACATCGTCTCGTCCACAATCAGCTGTGTGGCATCACTCAGCTGCAGCAGTCCGCTACGCAGTCGGTTAGCGCTGTAGTCTTTGGCCGGAGACAGTTTCAGCTGGTTCATGTTCTCGATCGTCAGTGGAAACAGATGTGACTGAAGCACAGACAATGTTGAAATTCATCAATTTGTAAAACATTTCTACAGTTGATTCTTGTTACAGAACTCCATCCAATGAGGTCAGTGTTTCTAAAATATCAACGTGTTGCAGCTTGTCAACACTATGGTAGCCTACACTATAGATGACCTACCTGCGTGACAAGCCCTGACACTATAGATGACCTACCTGCGTGACGAGCCCTGACACTATATATGACCTACCTGCGTGACGAGCCCTGACACTATAGATGACCTACCTGTGTGACAAGCCCTGACACTATAGATGACCTACCTGCGTGACGAGCCCTGACACTATAGATGACCTACCTGCGTGACGAGCCCTGACACTATTGATGACCTACCTGCGTGACGAGCCCTGACACTATAGATGACCTACCTGTGTAACAAGCCCTGACACTAGAGATGACCTACCTGCGTGACAAGCCCTGACACTATAGATGACCTACCTGCGTGACGAGCCCTGACACTATAGATGACCTACCTGCGTGACGAGTCCTGACACTATAGATGACCTACCTGCGTGACGAGCCCTGACACTATAGATGACCTACCTGCGTGACGAGTCCTGACACTATAGATGACCTACCTGCGTGACGAGTCCTGACACTATAGATGACCTATCTGCGTGACGAGCCCTGACACTATAGATGACCTACCTGCGTGACGAGCCCTGACACTATTGATGACCTACCTGCGTGACGAGCCCTGACACTATAGATGACCTACCTGTGTGACAAGCTGTGACACTATAGATGACCTACCTGTGTGACGAGCCCTGACACTATAGATGACCTACCTGCGTGACGAGCCCTGACACGAGACAATGCACCAGCTGACTGTAGTCGCGGGAGGGGGCGGGGCACCCACTGATGTTCAGGCTCATCTTCCCCAGGGGCATCATGTCCGCCCGGTTGTAACTGAAACATATTCAATTACCTTTGAAATTCGATATTTTACAGACTAGTCCAGAGGACAAGTGTAAACATTATTTCATGGGTCTCGGAGTTTGTCCCAAGACATAAATGGGAGATACATTTTCTATCAGTCTTATTTCATTCCCATTTGTAGGAAAATTAAAGAATTGAAAACTGGTTCAGAATTATGGTCCTTAAAAACTACTTGTCAATGAGGACTATCAATATTTGGATACCAACTCCCAAGATACACACCTCACCCCCACCATTATGAGACAATCTGCCTCTCAAAAAGACAAACACACACTGGAGGTGACGCACATTGGGATGAGATGAGACGCTCCCCCACCCCATGAGATGCTGCTCCACCCCCATGAGATTCTCTCCGACCCCCGTGAGATGCTCCGCCTCCCAACTACACTCACACCCACTTGAGATGACACATCAGGTACCCACACCCCAAAGACATTTTCCCACCTCCATGAGACGCTCCCCCACCCCCATGAGACGCTCCCCCACCCCCATGAGACAATCCGTCTCCCCACTAGACACTCACACACTGGAGATGAGATGACACAGCAGATACTCAGCACTGAGGGAGTCTCCGAAGACAGCATGTTCCAAGATAGAGAGAAGCTCGGACCTGATTCTGGATATTTCGGACTGTACAGTGGTCAGGGCTGAAATGTCAACAATACATACCAACTACTTACACAGTCAACAAATTTTCAACATCCGAATAACCCTTCCAGCAATCCTACAATAAACAGCTCAAGTATCATTTCTTTCCTTACAGAGATGTCACACTATGAAGTAACAGACCAGGGATCGATTTAACTGCTGGCCCGTTGGCCCGTGGCCAGTTAAAATTACGAAAGGTGTGCCGAAACAAAGTAGACAGCCCATCTGGCTAGTCAAAAGTTTCACCCCCTCTCTGTGTATGTTTAATTTTTTTAATGAATTATGTAATTTCAATGAGAAAATATTTAGGGGTGGGGGTTGGATGAGGTCGTGAGCATGGTTAACTCAAAGATCATCTTGGTAGAATGACACAACCGGCGGCCATTTTGTAATGTTCTGTGCAATTACAACATGTTTATTTGCTCATAAAATCGCCACGAAATGAGGCAAATGTAAGCCAAGAATTAATCTCAAGTGCAGGAAATGACGTTTTCGGGTGTGGAGTTCTAAAATTTACGGAGTCCCCTTGGAAACTTGGTCGTGGCTTCCAACACTTTGTTTTGGGCCAGTTAGTTTTGAGAAGGGCCAGTAACTTTTGAAAGGAGCAAGCCCTGCTGCCTACATACAAATTTGTTGTTAATCATCCCCTGCAGACCCTGCCACCTGATAGAAAGAAGTCTTCTAACCTGGGTCTCTCGGTTTAGATCAAATGATAAATTGACGCTACATAAGGAAACATCATCCTCTACTGGCTTCCACTGGAGATGTCACTTGTATGAGATAATGAAACTGCTTCACAATGCTTTGCAAACCATTGTGACATCATTGTGATGTTGGTAATCATGATGTCACAAAGAAATGACATCACTCATGTCTCTGCCTCTGAAACTAGTTTGCTGTATTATTTACGCTCAAGACACTGTTTACTACAGATTACAAACAAAAAAAGTTGAAAGAATGGTTTTGGATGATAAATAGAAATCTCAAACTTGTGTCTTCCAAGTTCAAATATATCAAGACTTGTCAATAATCGTAAAAATATCCTTGGCAGGCCTTGCATATTTCCAACTTTTATCAACGTCTAGATATATCTGATCTTGCAAGACACTGGGTGAGATTCTCAAGTAAACACAAGGAATTATTTACAATGTCCAGATCTACGGTACCCGCCACTGACAACTGGCACAAGACCCTGTAATCTGACTGCCTATAACGGAGAAGTTGTGTGACATGAAGCTGCCTACCCTGTACAAAGTCGGGGTCTGTGATGACTGGGGGCAGGTGGGGGTTGTTGTGGGCCAGTTTCCGGGACAGGATAGCGTGGAGTCGGGGGACGAGAGATGGTGGTGGTGCGTGGGCGTTTCTCTCAGCCTCCGTCTCAAACTCAGGGTGGACTTCCTCCATTCCTCTGTAACCATGGAAACACTTCAGTTCTAAATCTTATTTTCCTTAGCGAGAGGGCTGGGTTAAAGCTTTGACCAGTGTTTCAGTCATCTGCCCGCCCGTCAAGTTGACATGGGAGGGAAGACCTCAGTGAAGCAGGTTTTTGATGTTTACCACTTAAGTGAAACCCTTTTTGCTGATGATTAAATCCTAGTTTTTTATGGAACAGTTATTCTTACTGAAATTACAAAACATTTTCAATGTTACACTTAGTTTGTTGTAACATTTTGCGTATCAAAGTAGATACTGAACTATTTCAATAGCCCTTAAATGTTTCTCATTAACAAATACTCAAATCTCAATCTTACTCCGGTTTGACGTTGAACTGGGCCATAGATGGATCCACAGACAGGATGCCAATAAACTCAACACTGTCGTTGACTTTGAAACTATCAATATCATCATAGATCTGGAATAGAACATTTATAAGTTTGATAAGAATTCTTCCAAATGAAAAAAATATTGCACTAGATACATCAGTGAATACAGACTTTCACCAGACACTCATCTTTACAAGACACACCCACTTTCACCAGACACCCCCATTTTCGCAAGAGACACCCACCTTCACAAGACACACCCACTTTCACCAGACACACCCACTTTCACAAGACACACCCACTTTCACCAGACACACCCACCTTCACCAGACACACCCACTTTCACCAGACACACCCACCTTCACCAGACACACCCCCTTTCACCAGACACACCCACCTTCACAAGACACACCCACTTTCACCAGACACACCCACCTTCACAAGACACACCCACTTTCACCAGACACACCCACCTTCACAAGACACACCCACCTTCACAAGACAAGCCAGGCCTGTTTCCCCGGGGAGGGGATAGTTGAGATCCACTGAGGATGACTGAGCAGCACCTACAAAAAACAAAATTCCTTCATCTTTTAATTTTTCTGAATATCTACATTCTAAATTACACTAAAAATGTGATAGTGGAAATAAAAAATGTGAAGACTATCATAAATTTGTAATGTAGTCTCTCTCCATTAAATAAACCTAGATATATAAAGCTGCAATGAGACTGAAAGAAATCATGATTTTTTTAAGAGTTATCAGCAATAGACAAAGTTGGCATCTCAGATGAAGATTACCCTTCCATGTATAAAATCGTCTTGTCACCATATTGTTACACCTCACCAGCAGATGGCGCCGTTCTATTCCTCTTCGGCTCAGTATCACTAGGGGCAACGCCCCCATTAGCTGCTCCAGCCTCATTTGCATCGATGTCATTCATTGGTTGATCACTAACATCCGCTACACCTTGATCCCTATCCTCGTCACGACCTCTCTTTGACCTGCCATGGGGGTTAGAGGTGGAGGCTCCAGGTGTTTGCACATTTTGGCTGGCATAACCTTGTTGTGTGTTAAGGTTCCAAATATTTCACATTTGATATTATACTTGCTACGGACATTACGATCAAGGAAAGAAATGGATTTTTCATTGACCAAATTTGCAAACGGCAAAACAAACACACAAACTCTGAATGCCGCCATGACCATAACACAAGATGCGCAGTAACGCAGTGCGAAGGGAAGTAACTGCACGCTACATTGGATCCATGGTTTTTAAGTGTTGTAACATTTCACTGCCCGAGTCGTGTGTTCGAGACAGGGAATATTTAAAGATTTTTATTTTTGAGAATGGAAATAAAAACGAAACGTACGGCAGACTTTGTGATGATGCGGCGGTGCCTGAGAACCAAGAAAACAAATTTTTTAGCCGAAAATAACCTGTAAATAGTGCACTATATTCAGGCAGGTAAAGATACAATTCACCTATTCTGACAGAATGTTTTGAGCCACGGGATAGCGGGCCGGCAGCTAATTCAAGCACGGATAGTAATACATGACCTCAGCAGTAGCCATTAACCCACAAAGAAAGGTGAACCTTCTAATTGGCAAATCAGCATTGGAGATTATAAATTCTAGGCACAAGTTAGTGAAGGCATCAGAGCAGCATGTCCAACTCATATCGATGTCAATAACAGGGCTGGATTTAAGGTTGGTTGGTTGGTTTGTTGTTTTACGCCACACTCAGCAATATTCCAGCTATATGACGACGGCAGTCTGTGTAAATGATCGAGTCTGGACCAGACAATCCAGTGATTGATATCATGAGCATCTATCTACGCAATTGGGATCGATGACATGCTTCCACCAAGTCACCGAGCCTGACCACCAGATCCCGTTAGTCGCCTCTTATGAAAAGCATAGTCACCTTTTACGGCAAGCATGTGCAGGTTGACAAAAAAACAAGTTGCACCAAACAACACCAGGTTGCACTCGGTCCCATAAATTTATTAAAGTTAAAAAACATAGGCCAACCTGCTGCCAGTGTCACATTAATTGAAGATGCATTACTGTAAGATGTAATAGGTATCATTTGTATTGCGCTACGGGTTGCAAATTGATGATTTGTCTCGTGGGCTTCGCATTGGGTTTTTGTTTGTTTGTTGTTTAACGCTGCACTGTAAATAATTGAGTCTGGACCAGACAGTTCAGTGATTGACATCATGAGCATCGATCCTATTCTATCCTGGATCTTCATGGGTCACTTCACATTGGGATACAATAGTGTGCTGCCATATCCATACACCACTACATACATACATACACCACTACATACATACATACATACACCACTACATACATACATACACCACTACATACATATATACACCACTACATACATACATACATACACCACTACATACATACATACATACACCACTACATACATACATACATACACCACTACATACATACATACACCACTACATACATACATACATACATACATACATACATACATACATACATACATACATACATACATACATACACCACTACATACATATATACACCACTACATACATACATACACCACTACATACATACATACACCACTACATACATACATACACCACTACATACATACACCACTACATACATACATACACCACTACATACATACATACACCACTACATACATATATACACCACTACATACATACATACACCACTACATACATACATACACCACTACATACATACATACACCACTACATACATATATACACCACTACATACATACATACATACACCACTACATACATACATACACCACTACATACATACATACACCACTACATACATACATACACCACTACATACATACATACACCATTACATACAACCAGATGCCACGACATCTAAACACGCTAAAGGTTTGTGACAAAGGATATTGCCTTGACCCAGTCCGATTCTCCTGGCACAGGAACACAATACAACGTCTGTCTGTCCATCGTCACATTCCTGCCTGACTCGATGTTAACCTCCTGGTGGGTCTGAAACAAACACATCCCAGTCAGATAATCCTACATCAGTGTCTCTGGATATTTAATTATGCAGTTGTCCTAGTAAGACCACACTTTTCTAATCTCATGTTTCATGGATTTATTCCAGCTTTTCCACTCAAGGTCAGTTGAAATATAGATAAAAATAGATAGCTATGTCATTTTTATTGTATAAGAGGGTCTATATTACTAGCAGCAGACATAATAAAAATACATATTTTTATGGATATTTCTTTTCCAGCTGCTTTTCATCACATTTACATGGAAAGCAAGCAGTATTTCTTGGCTTCCAAAGTCATGCTAGTCTGCTAGCAGTACAAAACCAACCATATTCGTTTATTTTGTTTTGAAAGCTAGGTTTGAATCTAGCACACTGGAACTGTCAACATGAAAACATAGAAGGAAATCAATGGCAAGACAAAGGGAGATAATTTGGACAGACCAGCCCAGCAAGGAGCTGAGTTCCAAAGAAAGTGGAGACACATGTGAGCTGTTTTATCAGTGTTCACGCTGGCTCTTGAAACTGCCAGTCCTGTTGGACTGGTAACTCTAAAAATAACCAGTCCCCCCTAATATTTGTCAGTCCCAACTTTCAACAAATAAAAAACCCATAAAAATTACCTGGTTATAATTCTTTCAACATCATGTTCAATGCATTGATGTCATCTCTGAAGTAACTTAGTTAGATCTACACATTATTCACACAGAGTTCAGTCGCAATTTTCTCATCTTTTGTTTTGCTATTTCAAGACAAAGTCACTACGAATATATTTTTAAACTTGAAGCAAAGCAAAATGTCATTTCCTTGCACTAGAAATCGACAAGGGGAAACTCTGATGGTAACAGACAAGCTGACTTCATTCTAAAAATATACTTGAATAAAATATACTGAATATCACAGATTTATAAGGTACTTTATTTACCGGTCCACAGGGACTGGCAGTCACATAAATTACCAGTCCAAGCCTAATTTTACCGGTAAAAATCTGGTAAATACCAGTAAACGGGAACACTGTTTATACTGCAGTATTATATTCCAGCAAGGACATGCTAGCCTTAACAGTGAAGTGGTTGATGAGGGTGGGGCGAGGTGAGGTGAAACTGGGTTTAACAAAGCTTTCAAGCACTTCATTGCACTTCCATAGTGCTAACCCACAGACATACCATGCCACAGTTGAACATTGATACCCCAATCTGACATAGAATACTGACTGAGCTGACCAGTCCTTATTTTACCTCCTTTATCTCGAGCATCAGGCAGGATAACAACAAGTACTATCTCTTAACATCTTTTGGTTTCATGTGGCCGGTGATCGAACCCTGGACCATCCGCACTCCGGGTGGACACTCTACCACTAGACCACAAAGGCAGTCGCTTTTACTTTTAACATCTTTTGGTTTAACGTGGCCGGTGATCGAACCCTGGACCATCCGCACTCCGGGCGGACACTCTACCACTAGACCACAAAGGCAGTCGCTTTTACTTTTAACATCTTTTGGTTTAACGTGGCCTGTGATCGAACCCTGGACCATCCGCACTCCGGGCGGACACTCTACCACTAGACCACAAAGGCAGTCGCTTTTACTTTTAACATCTTTTGGTTTAACGTGGCCGGTGATCGAACCCTGGACCATCCGCACTCCGGGTGGACACTCTACCACTAGACCACGATGGCAGTCGCTTTTACTTTTAACAACTTTTGGTTTGATGTGGCCGGTGATCGAACCCTGGACCATCCGCACTCCGGGCGGACACTCTACCACTAGACCACAAAGGCAGTCGCTTTTACTTTTAACATCTTTTGGTTTAACGTGGCCGGTGATCGAACCCTGGACCATCCGCACTCCGGGCGGACACTCTACCACTAGACCACAAAGGCAGTCGCTTTTACTTTTAACATCTTTTGGTTTAACGTGGCCGGTGATCGAACCCTGGACCATCCGCACTCCGGGTGGACACTCTACCACTAGAACACGATGGCAGTCGCTTTTACTTTTAACAACTTTTGGTTTGATGTGGCCGGTGATCGAACCCTGGACCATCCGCACTCCGGGTGGACACTCTACCACTAAACCACGACCTTCCACGCCACCCGCCCATTGTATCCAGGAGGACAGGCTGCACCCTGTTAGCGTACAGTGATGCACGATGTACAGCACAAGGTAAAAACTCCAGGGTACTGGAGGCTTATCCATCTAAGTAGAAGATCTCAAGGGAAACTCACCCGTGCATCTGCAATGTCCTTGTATTTCCCTGACAACATCTGGGTTTGTTTTGACTTCATGTCGGTGACCTCGTAAGCTCCGAGGTAAAACTCAGGGTCGAACATGTCCTGTATCATACATCGGTACTTCACGAGGCTGTTGGGCCTCAAGTTGTGGAGGGCAACATTGTTTAAAGATGGAATCTGTAATCAGAACATGTAAGGGTTATATTACACACTTAGTGATGACATCTTCCCAAGGCGAGGGAGTTAACTAACTGTATAAGTCCAGTTTCCACCCTTGGCCAACTAGGCTGGAATTCCGGAGTTTATGCATAGTCGAATTAAAATCGTGCAGAAACCTAGACATCTGGTTTGTAAACAACATGGATTTCAATCTGCAGATTTTGGTCGACTGCAGGACCTACAAAGCATGTTTATGTCTACTGGGTGTCGACGGATATTTTTGAAACCTATTAATGTTTTTGATCAAGGTGCTCAAATGATTCCATACTTTTTGTGGGGTAAGATCCGTTTTATTACAACATAGATCATGATAGATCTTGATTATCGATCAGGTCGTCTTGACTGGATGCCCTCCATTTTGATTGAAGCAAATGCATGTGATGTGAGAGGTGGAATCTGATTGGTCAATAGGGAGACACGAAATCCATACACAGTTCAGCAAGGGTGGAAACTGGACTTTTGCAGTCAGTTAACGCTCCTGCCTCGGGAAGATGTAGTCACGAAGACGTAACTCTAAACTAAACAGTGATAGAAAATAGACCTAAAATTAGCTTCAAAACAAATTGTTTTAAACTGTTATGAAAGGACAAACAGTAAGTGTCCTATTATCACATAGAATGCTGTCCTTCCAGGTTCCTTGAAGCACCCCATACTACTGAGGGTGTGGTCCAAATACATCTCCCGGCCCCATTCTTGTTTCAAAGTCATTGGCAAACAATCAATCCTCCAAATAACAAAAATAAAGGCAACAATATGTCTTACAGAATTCGGGAAATAATCACAATTATCTGGAGACCAACAATACACCATTTGAAACATGATATTTTGATGGGCATATCATTTGATGATCTGTGACACACCACATTTAGCGGTATACCATCAATACAGCAGAGGGACATCAACTGAGCAAGAATGGTCTCCATATATTGTCCCCATTTCGTGAATTGTGTTTGTCCCCATTTTCTGTGTGCCCCTCCTGCACTGACTGACCTGTCCATGCCATACAAGGAAAGAACACCTACCATGGCCAATGCCTTCTTGTGCTGCAATCGTTTACCAAAGTAGTCTCTGATGGCCGTGTTGTCTGATATTCCATGTTGGTCTGGAATAATCAAATTAACATCTCAACAAGTCTTTCTGTATTACTGTTTTGTGGCTAGGTATGAGAACACGTTGATTCGGGAGCATGTTACAAACTTGAGAAATATTCAACATTGCTGAGTGCGGTGTTAAACAACAAACAAACAATTTCAAAACTGTTGACATACTTATATTGTCTTGTGGTCGATATGCAACTCCCAGTTTAATTTATTTGTACAACCTGTCTACACTGATACGAGTTCTTAAATTGAATCCAAGTCAAATTAAGTAGTATGCCGGATGCCAATTTTAAGAGTGTGGGGGGTTGGCACCCTCAAGAGACACAGATCCACACTGCGACCCGTATCTTTGACAACCTTCACATAGAGGAACACACCATGGAGACATGCTTCAACAAAAACCTAATATCTAACCTAAATGAGACTTGTTAAACGTGAACAATAAATTCAATTTAAAGAAAATGTATCACCATATTTGTTTTCGGAAAGTGAAGATAACCTGTTGAACTTGAACACGACAGTGACATTAACACATCGGGATGTGATCATGCATCCATCCATCCATCCATCCATATATATATATATGCACAAGTATACATGCTCATGGGCGGATACAGAGGGGGGGTGCGGGGGTGCACACCCCCTTTTATTTCGAAAAAATCTTTCTTTCTGTATAAATTACCACCAAAGACAATAAATAGATCTTAATTGTGCACCCCCCCTTTTCAAAAAAGCTGTATCCGCTCATGCATGCTGTTAGCTTCTTTGTAGGAGAGTAAACAAAAAACAAACGAATTAGTACCTCTTGAGATGATAAAGTTTGCACCCCAAATTGAAAGTAATTTCGTAACCCTATGCAATAAAAAATAAATTACAAATATGTATTTAGATTTAAACAACAACAACAACAACAAAATGCAGTGATTGATTTGATATTGGTTGTTACAACAACAACAAATGGGGTTTATTTGTCTGGACCAGACAATGCAGTCATTGATTTGATATTGGTTGTTGTGTTACTGTGATGTGTTTTATTGTGTGTTGATATGATGGTTGCATGTATGTGTTTATTGTTGTGAATGTTATAGAGAATGTTAATTGTTATTTACCGCAATTTACCCCTGCGTATGCAGCCCAGGGTCTTGGTAGTTTCTCAAGCCATAGTAGTATCTACCCAAACGATCATGTAAGACAGTACTCTGCTGATAGTGAATTAGTTACACCAGGAGAGGCTTACCAACTAGATTCTGAATAACATCCAGCGGATTGTCTGTCCAGTCTTCCACTCCAGGCATACTTGTATTCTTTGGAGAAGAACTTTCTGTTTTACTCACGTTTACGCAGATGGCGGGAAATTTTATAACCTCTAACAAAATATAATAACTGTGATCTTCTAAACCCAGATATGTATTACCTTAAAAGATCCATAGATTTCATTCTAAATTAAAATAAATTCAAACTCTTTATAATAACATAAATAAAATGGTGTGTATCATGTGTAAATTGCATATTTATCTATGGAAAATATTGGTTTCTTTGGCTTAGTTGTGAGCACGTGTTGCGCCTAAACTGGTGTCCTGTCTTTTCGTTGTCGAATTCTCAAACTCGCTTCAGCGCGTGTTACCTCCTATCCCGTTAGATTTCAAATCTTATGGTGTGTGGGGGAGCGATATGTCGCTGTGGGGAGATTTAGTGACAATGGCTCGCGGCGTGTTTAATTTCGAGTACCAGTTTAACTTGACCGGGTACCGAAATACTCCTCGCAGCGAAACTCCAGAGCCCTTTCTGAGATTTGTGTTGAAAGATGAATACTTTAAGTAGCATGGTTTGTGGTCTCTGATTGAGCGTGAATTGAAGCAGAGACCACATGCCGATCGGTATACGGTCTCTGATTGAAGACAGCTTTACTTGAAATAATAGAGTGTTCTGACTAATGAATGAAACACAATTCCTTCCAACAGTGCACAATCTTCTTTGTATGAAGAGGGATCCGCGAGTTTAATATGTATCTTATATGGGCTCCCAGTAATGTATAAAATTAAGAACCGTATTTAGATCGAGATTTACACTCAAGACCATATATATGTTACAGTCAATGTTAAAAATGCGATTCTCTTGGACAATTTACAAAACGGCAAAATATTTCAGTCCCTTTTTTTTACAGAGTGAATAAAAATTATTTAGAGGTTGAAAATCACAATAGACTAGGCCGTAATCATGCTAAAATTAGAAGCAAAAAAACAAAATTGATATCGACTTTCGTTCTTTTAATCCTACCGTTTTCAGTCACTGGGTAATGAAACTAAACATCAAAATGTTGGGAATTCGTTATCAGATTAAAGTAAACGGAAAGATTTTTCAGTCAATTTGTTAATTAACTGAAACATTTAGTCGTTTTGTAAATTGCATGAATGAAACTTACAGCCAGTTTACACATGTCTCTAGATCTTAAAAGCGAAATATTTATATGTTTATTCTTGACACCTATTATGTCGCCTTAAATGGACACATGGCAACGAATTTACATGTGCTTATTTTAATACTTTTGCATTATACATGCGCCTAAAGCAGCAGCTATTCAGGTCCGCCTTTTTTGTCAATCAGACAGTTTTTCAGAAATCATTATTTTTTATATAAAATAAAACACAAAGGATGTAAACCTTCGTCTGTTGGTCTTCATTTCCAGTGTAAAGTTATTTCTTATAAAATTTCATATAACCTCTCGAGCCTCTCGAGGGGTCTCCGGGTTAGAACAGGTCTCCAACTTTGGTTGTCGTACAGAAGAAGGATCGGATGGTCAGGTTAGGTTGATTGGTTGTCATCGTACGTGTCTCCGACGGTGTGGAACGTGGCTCATACTTTTAATCACTGGTTTGTCTGCTTCAGACTTGATTATTTACAGGCCGCCGTAGTCTTGCACCACGACTGTGGAACATATTTATTTTATGAAAACTTAACTTAGATATATATACAAAAGCAAGTCTAGTCAGCTCTAGACAGCTCCAGCCAGCTCTATTCCACTTGCAATCAGCATCAGGAAAATTAATTGTTTTAATTTTGGAGGAGAGACATAAATTGTGTCTTAAAAGATTTCATAGACTATATGTTAGTCTAAGGCCGCCGTCAAATGACTGGAATATTGCCGAGTGCGGCCAACAACTTATTAACAAACATACTTATTTAGTATCACCAGAAATATACAACACTTAATTGGGTTTTAAAGGCACCACCGTGTTCCAAAAAGGATACTGAGCTATAAAAATATATTTAAAAAACCCCACATCCTATAGAAACCTCGGTACGACATATACCTGTCATTGTTTACATTAAGAAATTCATTTTTATATATTGCATCATATCATTTCTAAGTTTCTTGACCTTGTGATAATAGCTAATACTCTATCCCATATAATATATTCACTTGCAAACTGAAACTGAACTTATCAATGAATATTTCTACCGACACATTGTAAAGGTTTATTTACAAATTAGAGACTTTCAATACACCAATCATCGTCAGCCTGTTTTTCAACTATGACGACACACAAGAAGAAACCAGTTCGTCAATGTAAAACTCTACATTCACGCGGTGGTTTCAGCACCGGTTTAGGTTTTATGTGCATTCATATTCATTTCCCACAGCGGATTGGGGAGAGAATGGGAGAGCACTGTTTAGAGCTCTCATACCGGAAATGAACGGCGACTGGTTTTACGGCGATTTTCATTGGTTAGCAAATGACACACCAGGAAGTAATTGAATTTTGAGTTCGTTTCCTGGACCGCGTCATTTGAGTTGACAAATGCCTCAAGACCGAAACAAGTTACTTTGAAACTGACCCAAACAATGGAACTCATATCTTGTCCAAAACACAGTACGTTTGCTTCTGACATTCTGACATCGACACACGGTGACATCACTATATGTACACACTTGAGGATGTTGATCGAGTGACATTAGCATGATTAGGCCCGTAGCCCATAGACTTTAAATGACGTGTTTCTATTTTCACTTTGAAGAAACCTCTTTAATTCGTTTAAATGTCTTTAATGATAATTTACAAATAATAAATATAGATATTTTTAGTCCCAATTTAAGTTATTTATTTAATGTCAAGTGACGTATCTTTTTCAGACTGAGAAATACTAAGAGTATAGGAACAATATTATTTTCACGTATAAATTTTGGATGATTTGTCGTCATTTGAGAGAGGTGTACTCACTCCCATGTCTGTTGCATGTGGTACTTCTAGTTTTACATAATTTAAGTTTGTTGATGCACCATTTGATAAAGAGCAATTTGCGTGGGGTGGACGTACATCACTGATTGATGCCGGCCTCTCTCTCATGTTTACATGTGTCCGTACTGTTTAGAAAATACACACATTTACCTGAATAGTTTCCCATCTCAGAGAAAGCTTTCTTACATTTTGGTGCAGATATTATACCAGTGAATTCCATGACCCACAAATGTTCATAGATAATGGGTGCAAATGTAGAATACACTTTCTCCCGAGGGGCCCACAATAATGTTAATTTTACCTACAGCTCATCAAGAGCAGTTATGGTCAGTTATTTCACCCATGAACTGTGACCACTGCCCACATGATCATGGATTCTCAAGTAATTATCAAAACATACAGTACACTACACCATTTCATTACTTTACAGGACCCTCATATTGCCTGCAAGGCCTCTTGATCTTAATTATATAGGTCCCCAGGACCCCCACTTTTGTAAGTCAAGATAAAACCCACTCTCCTACCCAGAGTTCCATGCGGCCGGCAGCCAGCTAGCATAGTACCTCTGCCACAGGCCAGCACCATGTGACGATTCGTCACATCTTTCACAGTCCATTCAAGATATTGCATATGCTTTTCATCCGTTTCATGTTTGACAAGTCTACACATTTTCATAAACAAATGTCAACAAATGGTTAACTTTCATTGAGAAAGTATGCAAATACGTAAAAATATACTTGTTTTTGCGTAGTTATCCTATGTTTACATTGGTTGTACGGCTCCACGTGCTGTCATCGAAGCCCAACGGAGAGCTAGCGACACGGTCACTTTGATGCATAAATATATATTGTCATGCAACTCACTGTCGCAGTTGTAGTAGCATATCTATATAGTTATGCAAAACAATATGTAAAGCGCCCCCAAATACTTGCATTAGTCCGTTCTATACTGATTTCTGAAAAAGCGCGTTTGTTTACAAACAAGAGAAAAGTCCGGTCACGTGATATGCAAATTAGCCTGTGGCAGTGGTGTTATGCTGAGTCACCACTGCGACGGAGTGTGGATAAAACCCTGTTATGCCATTATGAAGACTGTATTTTGCATCAGTATCGAACTATTTACGAAACTATGCAGCAGATCATGTTCACTTCTGTTAATAGCATTTAGATGTTGGTATGATGAACAAGGGAGATAGTTCTATGGATATACAACTTCTTTATTACAATGACTCGGTGTTTCGCTGTAGATACCAACACCGTTATCAAGCAAGTAATGAACAGAAATGTGAGGAAGGGAGGTTGTATACATGTGGATGTTTAATGTTTATGCAAGATAATGTTTACACAACAGAAAAGGTTCAAGTATAAAGCCTGATTGATGTACATTAATAGGATTATAAAGGCATGATGGGTAAAACAATACAGTGATTGATATGGACAAGTTGATTGGAAGCCAGTATAAGGACAGAGGGATTAAGATACATATGTGCATATATACCGGGGTATATATATGATGGACAATGAATAGGCATCACAGGACTGTTTTATGCATGTATGTATCTTAATAGTTCTTGCGAGGGCTTCGATAAAACCATGGACACTTAATACGAGTCTATATTTAGGGTCCATGGTAAAACAATTCCCAACTTTTTTACCCAACTCTTGAGACCTACAGAGTGCACCCAGGTAGGGTCTGGTATGGAGGGTCGGGTACCCGGGTACAAATTTGTACTCGTCCCAGTCCTAGTTCCTTTGTACCTCTGACATAAACATCATGTTAATTTGATGAGCCTTGACATATTCCTATACCGGGAAAGAATGTTGAATCTCTGTACCAATACACACATCTTTATGTTGTCCAGGTAAGCCATGTTCTCTGAAGACCGGCACCAAACCAGGCCCCAACAAAGGCAAGAGCTTCTACCTTTGCATGGATAACTCCGACGGACAATGTGACTTTGTGCAACAAACATCGTAAGTTTATCTCCATCAAATATCTCAAGTTTAGGTTTCATTCTTTATAATTATTCTTGTTTGATTTTTCAAAGACTGGTTGATCTGAACCCAGCTTGTACGTCATCCATAAATATGTTGTCAAATGTTATCGATTTGAGTCATCATTGCCTTCTAACTCTGCAGTAGGCAACCTGTATCGTGAAATTCCCGCTGTTCTGCAAGCCAGAGACTACTAAAATGTGCTGAGTACAAGTAAAAATCCAATGATGTTAGTCCTCAGACAAGGAGCATTGGAGGGGTATAATTCTGGACTGGTTACAAACTCTGAGGACTATTTGAATAAAAGTTCCACTTTTCCTCGGGACAAATCTTAAAACCCCTGAAGTTTTAAGGCTGAGTGGGGCTGTGACCATAACCGAATGTTGAGTGCATCACAATACTCTGTGTATAACACACCAGTTACTAAAGGATGGTTTCCTATGTAAAACCAGAGACCATATACCGATATGCCTCGGTATATGGTCTCTGGTAAAACACTTCAAGTAACCCTTGCTCATTGTGAGAGTGAGTGAGTGAGTTGGGTTTAACGCCGCTTTTAACAGTATTCCAGTTATATCGCGGCGTGTCAGCTTAATGTGGGAGGAAAGCCCGATGTGATGCAGGTCTCAGACGTTTACCACTTTGGTGAAACCCACGAGCACGGGTATCAGGCCTCAAAGTTTTAATTTTTACCAAGTAGCCACATGGCTACAAGTATTTTTTTCCAGGTAGCTAGTGGTAAAATCAAGAAGTGAAGCCAATTTTGTAGGTAGCCAAAAGCATTTGAAGTGATCTTTTATCAAATAACTATTATATGTACAAGTCATGGCACTAGTCTTGGAATTGTATATTAGTGGAAACTGTACATGCTGTACTTGAGTGTTGTTATTTGTGACTTGAACAATGATGCAATTTATGTTACTATATTATACAGGTATATTCTTGCTTATCCAATAAACTATCAACTAAAATAAAATACTAATTACATTAATATTTATGCATTTCTGTTCATTGTTGACTTTAGGAGGAATTATTTGCATGCACAATCAGTAGCAGACACGTTTATTTTTGTGTCTATATATGTCGAGCAATAGAATTTAGTCGCCACAAGATATTTTTGAAGGTAGTCATTTGGCTACCTCAGAATTTTAGACAGTAGACAAATTGAAATTTAGGTCGCATTGGCCACCGTTTTAGTGGCAACTTTGAGGCCTGAGTATGTTGCTGACAAACCTGGAAACATAATTAGGGTGAACTGGGATTTGAACCCACAATCATAGGTTTCTGGCGTGCCCAAGGGACGCAACTCTGCTCAGCGAATCGCGGCGCCTTAGACAACTGGGCCACCCATGCCCCCCTGAGAGCTCACTTAAATAGTGGTTACAATGTGTGTCTTGACTGTTTTTCACATCATACCCAAATGAGTGAATTCTAACTTATGTTATTAATCAGTGGTTTGTCTCTTCTCACTATTTTCAGGCAGTGTAAAGATATGGCTGTAATGTTGCTGAACTTTCAAACTTTGTTCAGGTGAATTAAAGGAAATCTGACCAATGTCTCATCGCTCTTACTAAGCCTGTTCTTCCCACTATGTCGTAGTCTGCCGCCCAAGTGCTGTCCGAACCACGCGGGGGAGTTTGTGGAGCTGCAGAGGGTGGTGGTGGGGAAACAGTCGGCGGAGAAGAGGTGAGTGGGGACAGGCTCTACAACGCCTTGAGTTTTGCAGTCGGGGCTGTAATCGGCCTTATATTATCAGAGCTCCAGATAAGCTTTTGGTGTTGTGGGTATTTTACCCATGCATTTTAAGATCATTGGGTATCAGTAATTCTATCTGAGTATTCACATTTCTGTTACCCATTAGTTTTTACACATGTGGGTATTTAAGTTAAATATTAAAAAACACTATTCATCTAGTCCCATCAAACTGGTGTCGTGTGGGTTCGAGAGCTTTGTAGGACTCAAAAATACCACCATACTTCCACAAGAAAGTGTGATGGCAAATGATCATGGTGTAACTGTCATGGAGTTTGGCAAGGTTGACAGAATGCCCGTTTATAATTTCAAAATAAGTTGCTGATTTGCGAATCGAATACGCAAGGTTTCTTCACAATATTTTGATGATACGCACAAGTTTTATTTTTGTAGCGTATCTGTAATGTTCGTTGCGTATTTGATACGCTTTGATTTTATTTTGCTGCTTATTTCTGCATTTCTGATGCGTATTTTATTCAGATGCGCAGCTTATCTGGAGCTCTGATTAGATTTAGAATCTGCTTTGATCACTCTTTCTCTGCTTATCGTGCTTATGGGTAATGTAAATGTTTATGTGATTTGATTTATTGTAAGTCATAGAGACTTATATTACGTAAGAATGTAACCTGAATGAGTCAGCTTTCCTGGGAAGTCAAGACCTGTGAAGATCCGGGTTAGAATAGGTCTTCAGCAACCCGTGCTTGCTGTAAGAGTCGACTAACGGAATCGGGTGGTCAGACTCTCTGACTTGGTTGATGCAAGTCATCATATCCTTGTTACGTGGATCGATGCACAGTAACTGGATTGTCTGGTCCAGACTCGATTGATTACAGATCACGTCATATAGCCGGAATATGGCTGAGTGTGGTGTTAAACAAACAAACAAACAAACAAACAAACAAACAAACAAACAAACAAACAAACCTCTGCAGTCCAACAACTCATCAGTCCAACTCAGCATGCTGTTTGTACTTCCAGGTGTTACTACCGGTGTGCAGATGGGAGAAGCAACAAGACCTGGTGTGGGTGCTTCAACTTCACAACTCAGGTAATACTTGAGGGCTGGTGTTGCATCACATCTGCAGAAATAATGGGAAAATCTATGGATTGTTTATATTTTCTTTTGTATGATTTTCGTACAGGTTTTGGGCCAAAATGCTATCATTCAAAAGCTACATAATTTTGTATCAAGTGAAATCTAAGCTGGAGCAAACAGAAGAAAGCTTGGAAATTTGCGACAGAAGATTGTTAGACATGATGAGCTAATACTAATACAGTTTGAATAGATGCTCATGCCATCGGCCCCTTGGTCCATCTGTTTCAAGCCCCACTGCAAGATGTAATGTCCTGGGTTGGAATCCTAGATTCTCCATAACTCTTTTTGGTCTCAGTGGTCTATTGGATAGAGCATATGCATGGAGAGAGGAAGGTCTGTGGTTTGATGCGTCATGCCAAACAACGTTAAAAGATGGTAGGGCTGGGACGAGTCCAAATTTAATACCCGGGTACCCACCCTCCTATTACCTGACTCTACCAAGGTACCCACTGTAGGCCTCAAGAGATAGGTACAAAATGTCCGATTGGGTATTTTTTTCCATAGCCCTGGCAAAACGTATTTAAATACATGTATTAAACAATCTGGCCATGCATACACTGAAGTTGACTGAAGTTATATCTTTATTCAACCATGTGAAAAGTCAGAAGGAATGGGTGCATAGTCAGAAAGAAATGCGAACATTAGTGACTTGTAGTGTAGCCATAGAGTTCTAGAAAAGTTTTGTCATTAAACAATATATCACATGACTAACCACGGGTCCGCATAGTCCTGTGGGTACCCGGGTCCTACTCAGTGTTTATATCAGTGGTCTAGCATTATTAAACTGGCATTAATCCCCCCCCCCCCCCCCCCCACACACACACACACACACACACACACACACACACATTCACCCTATTGTGTGTGTATATAATTGTAATAAAGGCGACGTTAAACCTCACCTCACCTCACCTCACCTCACCTCACCTCACCTCACCTCACCTCACCTCACCTCACCTCTTGGCAAACATCTCCAGCATCCATCACTTAAAGTTCTTTCTCTTGGTTTACTGACATCCCTGAAAGTTAGCTCTATAAAATTAGTCCAGACTAGTACAAGCAGCCACACACACACGTCGCTATAGTAGTGTAATAATCTTGAACCCAATGTTAACCCCCATTTCACATCACCACCTCTTGTGCAAGTTTTATTTGGAAGAATGATTGATGGCTGATTGTTTCAGAGTAACGCAGCCCTGAAGGATTACAACTATCAAGACAGAGACAAATCTGCAGAGAAGGAAGGTGACGGATCAAGTAAACGTACAGAGACATCAACCAATAGCAAGACATCAACATCAAACAGCAGCCTAGCAGACACGGACAAGGAAGCCAGTGTACTCAATTGTCTTGAGAAAAATAGTGAGAGGACTTCAAGAAATGAGTCATCTTCAAAATCCGATGAAGGAGCGGAATCTGGGAGCAGAAAACATTCAAAATCAGATGGAAAGCTTCAAGGTGACGTCAAGCAGAAAGAAGCAGACGTCAAAGAGAAAGGAACAGACGTCAAAGAGAAAGGAACAGACGTCAAAGAGAAAGGAGCAGACGTCAAAGAGAAAGGAGCAGACATCAAAGAGAAAGGAGCAGACGTCAAAGAGAAAGGAGCAGACGTCAAAGAGAAAGGAGCAGACGTCAAGGAGAAAGGAGCAAAAGTCAAGCAGAAGGAAGATGAGAACAAGGAAAAACGGGGAGAGAATCGGGACAAAGTTGAGCCTGAGGTGGTGGTTCTTGACAGCAGTGATGATGATGATGACTTGCCAAGCTTCCACAGTCTGGCAAAAAGGACGCCTAAAAGTAAGGCGATGTCAGTTGAGGGCAACTCCAGCTTCACATCATACAGAGACCGAGAGGTGGAGGGTTCACATCAGTCAGGACAGACAAAGGTAGGCCAACGCTTATATTGTATGATCTCCTCGGGGATTCCAGGGCAGCGTAGCGCTTTGGTACTCGCCATTAAGTACTCCCCCTTTAATCTTTTACATCAGAACATCATGCTTGTCATCACTATGAAGAAGTCTGAATAGATTCCCCAGCTAATATTTGTTTTGAAATAGAACCTTGGTGTAGATATTCTAATTAATGCCCTATGTTAATAGACTAATGATTAATTGCGATATTGAACTGGATTAACTGAAGTTGAGTTCGAAAGATGTGATTCCAACTTGATAAGTCTGCAATTTGTCATTGTCAGAATTTCGAAGAAGAAAATTAGTAATTTAAGCATTGATTGGAATAGGGGTCGACACCCTTAGTCGTATCCAACTAGACCACATGGTTATGTAAAATAATTATATTTTGGAATAAGGCAACTAGTCTGTCTAGATTGTTACTAGTCTTGGACTAACAGACTAGTGGCCTTGTTTATCCCTGGACCTTGTGGAGATTGTGGGACTAGTAGCAGGAGCTGTGACTTTATTATGATTTGTTCACAGTCTACAGGTCCTACAGCTGAAGTTACCAAGGAACAGTCCCCTGTGGACTCTCTTAGTAATGAAGTCAAGAAAATGGGTTTGGGACAAGGGGAAGACAACCCTTTCTTAGACCTCACTTTGGAACAAGCCATCTCTCGGAAGAGAGACTTACTTCAAGCCCTCCATAAAAACAAGGTTAGTGTGATAGATTGTGCTGGCAGGTATTAGAAAATTGGTTCCTGACTGGCAAACTAATATTAATTCTCACTTTTGCAGCCTAAAATATTGATGGAGTAAACATAAAATACTATTATTAATTTTGAAACAGCTTCCTATGTTTAAGAATCTCACTGATCAATTTAGAATTGAAGTATTCTAGAATTAAAGATTTAGAATTAGACACATTTCACTTGTTTGTGTAGGCAGATCCAGAGGGGGGTGGAGTGATGTGCACTCCTTTGTGCACCCTATCCCCTTTGCCCTGAGGGAAGTTTCGAAGAAAATAATGACATATTGGGGACGTGTCATTTGTAGGGCAAAAGAGTTACTGAAGACGCTGATAGATTGTCATTCATTTCCATTTGGGGACTTTGTTTGTAAGAGCAATTTTCAACATGTAATGCAGGATAAGTATAAAAAAATAAGAAATACTCTGATTTTGGAATTATTCATCTTGCAGGAAATCGCTCGTAGAGTGAAACTGTCCAATCTTCCTGATGGTGGCGTTAAACTGACGCAGGTGATAGAGACCCTCAGCACCAGTGTCAGACAGCTGGATGAGAGGATCGCTAAAGGTGAAAGTCTGGTCAATATTAATCTTATCAAAATCATGTCTTAGTGATTGCTACTGCTACACAAGTTCTGAGGACATCCCATAATACATCACGTCAGAACAACCTTTTGTGAACTTAGGCCAACCTATGAAATGTCTAACAAGAAGTCAACCTTAGACAATCAGAAAGCAGGTTTCTCTAGCTTTAGGGCACTAGTTTCAAACTGGTGACTTCCATTCCAGACTTATCTTTGACAAATATCAGTTCAAAATATGAAAACTATACAGAAGACAATTGTGGACGTGATTGTGTGGCACTACTTCCAAGGGCTATAGAAAGTCTCTTCCAATTAAAATGTTTAAAAGAGATAGACATTGAAGCAAGAGACAGACAATGATATTGACGGAATCAGTTGTACAGCCTATAATTGCTGTTTGGAAAACTCAGTGGTAACCTTTTCAAGGTTGCATGATTGGAAAACACATTCTGACTGGCACTTTCTGTATCCGGTATGCAATTCTCTGATTGGTCAGATGAAAGGTCGTTATGAAGTGACTCTAGGTGCAGTGTAAACTAAGATCTGATTTAAATGAGATTGGGTCAATATTGATAAAATACTACGGGACTGGGTGGTCAGTCTTGCTGTCTTGGTTGAGGCATGTTATCGTATCCCAAATGTGTGGATTGATGCTCATGAATCAATCACTGGATTTTCTGGTCCAGACACGATTATTTACAGACCACCAATATATAGCTGAAATACTGCTGAGTGTGGCGTTAAAAAAAATAAAAAATAATTATTTGTCATTATTGGCTGACATTCTTGATGTAACTGAAAATTGATAAAAGCGGTATTACTATAAACAAAACTTGGCCTTGAAAGGTATTGTGCTTATGAAAAACATGGCCGCAAAAGAAGCCATTACTTTCTGCTGTTGCATCAGATGTGTGAGGAATCAACTGTTCTTCTCAGACAGATGGTGTTCTCATGACAGGGCTTCTGTCCACAAGGGCATCTGTCCACAAGGCCATCTTACTGCTAACACGAAGAAAACACTCATGCCATCACACTGGCTTACAACAATTGTAATACAGGTTTCTCTTTGGATTGAGATATCTTTCGTTCCTTTCAGGAATCATTCCGTCGGTGGATGTAGACAAAGGGCCTCGAGTTGTACCCCCAGTTACCCAGGTTACGACAGTTCCGACTGGACAGGCAAATGGGCAACAAGTGATCAAGGTGATGCCAGATGGTTCCAAGGTCGTAATGACGTCTCAAGGGAGTACTGGACCACGTCAGACATCTCTCCTACAACACGCAGTACAGATTCCAGCCCACGTGCTGCAGCAGATGTATGCAAGTAGGTCGCCATGGTTACTGCAGAACTGTGGGATTGTGCTGGGCATGGAATGAGCTTGTAAAAATTAAACAGCAAACAAACAAACAAACATCATAACAGGCAACAATATGAATCAAAAGGTCATGCTTGATGGCTTGGTTGATAACATGTCAACATACCTGATGCCATTTTAACGTTGGTTATATCAATCAATGGATGGTCTGGTCCAGGCTTGATTATTTACTGGCCGAATTCATTCAGCTGGAATATTGCTGAGTGTTTTGTTTACCAACAAAAACCTGACTATATTGCACGAGTTAATATTGAAAGATATATTTCCTTAAGCCAGATATGATACTCTGACATACAATAGAAATAAAAATTATAATAACTGATACCATAACTCATGACACAGCAATGCACATTGCAGAAAGACCTCCTGAGGTTGGATATAAAATTATTGTTCCCCTGAAATATTGTCTAAATGAAAATAAGTGATACCTTCACTCAGAGCTGTTCCTTACTACTGGTACAAGTTTTTTTGATTGTGAAATATGAAAAATAGCTGATTGTAAACATTGTAATATGGTTGAAATTAGGGCTGGGACGGGTAAATCGGGTACCCGGGTCGGGTGGGTACTGAGTAGGACCTGGGCACCCACAGGACTACCCGGACCCGTGGTTAGTCACGTGATATATTGTTTCATGACAAAAAATCACTATAATTATAACTACATGGTTACACGACAATTTTAAATCTCTAATGTTCGCATTTCTTCATGACTTTGAACATGTTCCTCCTGACTTAAATATGTTTGAACAAAGCTAAAACTTCAGTCAACTTCAGTTTATGCATGATCACATCGTTTTATACATGTATCTAAAAAAACATTTTGCCAGGGCTACTGTCAAACTATTCCCAATCGGACATTTTCTGCCTATCTCTTGACACCAACAGCGGGTACGTGTGTAGGGTCGGGTAATAGGGGTGTGGGTTCCCCGGGTAGTAAATTTGGACTCATCCCAGCCCTAGTTGAAATGATTGCTTTATATCTGTACTTATTCAAGAACGTGTGCTGTTTCAGCGAACCCCCAGGCCATGCAGCTGTACGGGGGCAGGATGACCGGGGCAAGACTCCGGGAGGTCTCCTCCATCACAAAGGAGGCTCTGGAGAAACTGCACAAGTAGGTCAGCCATGACTAGTCTGTTGTGACTAGTCTGATGTGATGCTGGGTGTCTTTAAAGGGGGACCACTCTGTTGTGCTGTTGGAGTGTCTTTAAAGGGGGACTACTGTGTTGTGACTAGTCCATTGTGATGCTAGGGTGTCTCTTAAAACAGACCAGTCCGTTGTGATGCTGGTTGTCTCTAAAGGGAGACTACTCTGTTGTAACGCTAGGCTGTCTCTAAAAGCAGACCACTCTGTTGTGAAGTTGGGATGTCTTTAAAGGGAGACTACTCTATTGTGAAGTTAGGGTGTCTTTAAAGAGAGACTTCTCTTGTTATGATGCTAGGGTGTCTCTAAGAGCAGACCACTCTGTTGTGACCAGTCGGTTGTGATGCTGGGTGTCTCTAAAGGGAGACTACTCTGTTGTGATGCTAGGGTGTCTCTAAGAGCAGACCACTTGTTGTAATGCTAGGTTGTCTTTAAAAGCAGACCACTCTGTTGTTATTCTGGGGTGTCTTTAAGTGGACTAAGACTATTGTGAAGGGAGACAACCCCATGACCAATTGGCTCTTCTCCTGGTAACATGATTCAAACCATTTCACACACACTTTGTTAGTCTGTTGTAGCAAAACTTATGGTATAGATCAGGGGTCCGGAAAATTTAAAATCCCAATCGGACATTTGCATTTAGGCCACGCCCCCTTCAAATAGCGTATTTTAGTACAACTTTTCACACACATTACAAGTTTACGTATTCATAATATGATGAATTATGAATTGTTTCAATTTAAATTGTTTAATTCACCGGACAATTAATAACAAATAATATTATTTTAGATTTACATGGAAAACATCCGTTTGTTTCTGTTATAATAACAATCTGTTAACGTAGTGAACGGTCTAATTAATATTCATGAGTTATATTCATGAGTCTGCTCAAGTGTACGCGTTGTAACATTTGGATCGAGACTATTATCCCATATTTGGTTATCACCTGACCTCATGGGAAAAGTTTTTTTTTAAACTAAAGATTTTTTTAAAAACAAGACAGATAATTTAATCACAAATACTAAAATATCGTTGATAGCAATAGTTATTTGAATACTTTTTTCATCTGTACTTAATTATTGACCATAAAAAAATTGGATATCGATCGTCCGAGAAAGCAAAATGGCGGTCAATCAAGATTCAATATACGACTAGCTACTGAAAACAATAAAATCTGCAAATCCTCATTGTATGTCAACCAAGTGAAAGTCGTTAGCCATGACTTACAAAAGGATCGTCCAGACTTTGAGGGTTTGGCAGATCCGGTCGACTGGCTGTCGTCACGCTTTCGCTTCTTGTCTGAGGTTTCGTATCGTAGCATTGTGAGGATAATGAGGTACATCGATGATGCAAGGTATTAATGTACAGTTGTAAACACCTTTCACTCAAATTAAGAAGATGTTCTCAGTAATTAATCCTCGATTAATCAGTGTCAACTCAGTTTATTGCCTATTACAGTGATTGACCGATTGGACTATCATGTAGGTACGATGTATTTACAGCAATCAAAACAAACAAAGCTTGTCAGTGTAGTTAATCTTCATTGTGTTCCAACTGCAGACAGAAACTGCCCAGTCCTAACTGTTGATCATGTCCGGTCAAAATTTAAGAATGTCCGGACAATACTTTTTAAAATGTCCGGTAAGCAATATTTTAAAACGGACATTTGAGATTCCCAATCGGACATGTCCGGCGCATATGACGGTTTCCGGACCCCTGGTATAGATCAATTTGGCAGTTTAAAGTTACCTACTTAAATTAAACATTTCATGTTTAAAATTCACGCAAAGCTCTATAATAATATACCCCAACAGTTACGTGTGCTGATTAGTTGTGAACCTGAGTTTAAGTACAATTCAAGGTATACAATAACCACATTTACAGTTAACTTGTACAATGTTCCTTGTGCATGGATTACCTCCCCTGTTGCCAGGCAGCTGGAGTCGTGTCCCTCAGAGAGTGAGGAACTGGAGGACCCCCGGGGTCTGACCGTCCCCCTCATGATCCACCAGAGACAGGCCCTAGCTTGGTTGTCATGGCGAGAGAAACAAACACCGTGTGGAGGAATTCTGGGTAGGTCTGTCCGTAACTTTTGTTGACCATGTTTGACATATAAAATGCACTGCTCCAATTAGCCCTTGTGTAAGCCAAAGGAGAAGTGTATTATCTAACCCAAATTTTACAGAACATTTATCAACAACTTTATGCTTTAAACTTACTTTCCCAGAACGATAGGAAAATATGTCTTCTGTGACATGTATTTAAAAAAGAGGTTCTTAAAAGTGTTGTGATTTGTCAGCGCCTCTGTTGTCTAGTGATTCACTCACCTGATTACAGATATGAGGATTGTATGTTTGATCCACTGTCATTTGATTTTACATCATTCCTCACATCCCCTGGTCTACATTGTGTTCAAATGCAAAATGTCCCGTGAAGCGTGGATCGATGCTCGTAATATCAATCACTGGATTGTCTGGTTCAGACTCCATTATTTTCAGACCGTTGTCATATAGCTGGAATATTGCTGAGTGCGGCGTTAAACAAAAAGACAAAAAACAATCAAATGCAAAATGTGTATCTATCGAGGGACATCCAGATGTTACAATAGCTCCGGAAGTTCTAAATATAAAAACCCCAGAATGGCGTATAAAATATCCACGTTTATGAAATTTAACCCAATCGGAGAACAATAGGATGATGTCACTGGAGGTTTATAAGAGACACTAGACAATAGAGACCCTGTATGTGTTATTCAAGAAAGCCAAGCAAGGCCTAGAGTGAGTCCTGAAGTACAAGGGGACATGCCGTCATCTGAGGCTAATTAGACAAGGTTTCAAATAGGCATCAGAGGCATGGATGGCCCAGTCATCGGAGGCACTGCAGTTGTGTCCCTTTGTGTGTCAGAAACCTATGATTGTGGGTTTGGATCCTGGTTGGTCCTGATTATGTTTCTAGGTTTGTCAGCACCATACCCATGTTCGTGGGTTTCACTTAAGAGGTAAACGTCTCTGCCTGCATCAATTTGGGTTTTCCTCACAGATCAAGATGACATGCCGTGATGTAACTGTTCAAAGCAGCTTGACATCCAACTCACTTGTTCTTAAGTACACACCATCGTTATGGCGACAAAGTCATGTTATGATATTAATCATCAAATTCAAGTAAACCGAAAAAACCCAGGCCATGCCTACTAATGGACTACTGTTGCCTGATTGGCTGAACACAGAATGTGAAGGGCTTGTGTTGCACGATCGTGCTATTTGATGTAACTGATTTCATATTGTTGTCCTGAGGTTTTTGTGTGTTAATGATTGTATAAGCATTCTGTGAAGTTGTTATTGTTGACATATTTATATAAAGAGTTTACTTTGATATGTTTTTACATTTATGGGGTTGTAAACGTGAAAACTGGTGGGCACACTTGAATTTCACAATAAACTCGGTTCCTGTTCATCCAGGCCATTTTCTCACTGAAATATATTGACTCACTTACATTATATAATCTGGCTTCACAACAGTATTTCACAATGTTTATTCCGAGAATTCAGCATTGAAATTGCACACTGGTTGCTTTGGAATACAAAAATTACATTTGTGTTGATGGGGTCATCGACAAAATTATGGTCAAAGTGTATTTGATGTTGTTGATGGACCAATCAGAATGCAGGATTCTAAGATAGTCATGGTAGAATAAAGGTAATCACACAGTTGTGTTTTGTTTGCAGCCGATGATATGGGACTTGGGAAGACGTTGACGATGATCTCCTATATTGTGAAACAGCGGGAGATGCTGGAGACTGGCACGGATGAGGAGAAGTCAGCCTGGCTGAACAGGGACAAGGAACTGGAGAAGTGTAAGCTACAGTGGTGTGCCATCTTGTTCCCTTGACTGTATTCCCCCTAGAGATTCCGGGGACCTCTCGACTGTATTCCCCCTAGAGATTCCGGGGACCTCTCGACTGTATTCCCCCTAGAGATTCCGGGGACCTCTCGACTGTATTCCCCCTAGAGATTCCGGGGACCTCTCGACTGTATTCCCCCTAGGGATTCCGGGGACTTCTCGACTGTATTCCCCCTAGAGATTCCGGGGACCTCTCGTATGTATTCCCCCTAGGGATTCCGGGGACCTCTCGACTGTATTCCCCCTAGGGATTCCGGGGACCTCTCAACTGTATTCCCCCTAGAGATTCCGGGGACCTCTCGTATGTATTCCCCCTAGGGATTCCGGGGACCTCTCGAATGTATTCCCCCTAGGGATTCCGGGGACATCTCGACTGTATTCCCCCAGGGATTCTGGGGACCTCTCGACTGTATTCCCCCTAAGGATTCCGGGGCCCACTACCTGGAGCTGACAAGCAACAATATATACTACCCAAAAGAAGTTAAAGAACTCCCAATTGATTCATATTTCTATTGTTAATATTATAATATGTTATATATAATAGCTGCATGTGTGGATCTTTGCTCATGCTCTCAACCACTTGTTTGCCAGGCCCTAGGCTCATGATAAGTTGACAAAAAGCCACCATCAAGCAATAAATATTAATGCAATGGTGAAGATCATATGTAAGATATGAAGACATAAACCGTGGGAAGGTGTATATGTCGTGTTATGCATTCCACGTTTTATAAAACCAAACGAGGGACATTATTACCACATTTATCCCAAGTGATACCACAGTAACGATTTTATCTTGCCGACATGTTTTAATATGCTGTTGTTAAAGAATTCAAACAAATTGATAATTGACAGAAGACAGCTGTTCCATCTAGCGGTGTCAATTGACTTTTGTTGGAGTTTTTGGCTTTGTAGCGGAGTAGTATTTTATCAAGATCACATGAACCAATCAGATCTCATTATTCTGACATGGACGTAAGATATTCTTGAATGCAATGTTAAACCCCATTCCATCTGACCGTTATCACTTCTAAGTTTTGTGTGTCATAATGTTCTATGTCTTCTCAGTGGATGCATCGGTCGTGCCATCACGGGCAACTCTTGTGGTGTGTCCAGCGTCCCTCATCTATCAATGGCAGAAGGAGATTGAGAAGCGAACACGACCAGGACTTCTGAGAGTTGAAGTCTACCATGGTGCTAACAGGGAGAGAAATATACTCAAGTAAGTTGTAGCCTCCGTAGTCCCTCTACCGTGTATAACCATCTATAATCAGACATTTACCTGTAGAAACCTTCTAATTGATTTGGGACTTTGCCGCCTCCGTGGTCTAGTGGTAGTGCGTCCGCCCAGAGAACAGAAGTTCAGGTGTTCGATGACTGTCCGTGTCATACCGAAACATGTTAAAAGAAGCTACTTGTTACTTTCTTGGCGCCCGGCATTATGGGCCTAAAACAAGGATTGGTTGCTTTGGAGTCAGTATACTGTGTCTGAGTTAGGTCTTCATGTTAAACTGCCGCATGGTATCTCAGTGTACTAGGAATATAAAATCAGTTAGTACTAGTACAGGCAGCCACACGCACATGTTTACGGTCGTATATAAGTGCATTGTAAGAGGCAACTAACGGGATCGGGTGGTCAGGCTCACTGACTTGGTTGATGCATGTCATTGTATCCAAATTGCGTGGATCCATGTTCATGATGTCAATCACCGGATTGTGTGGTCCAGACTCGATTATTTACAGACCGCCGTCATATAGCTGGAATATTGCTGAGTGTGGCATTAAACAAAAAACCAACCAACCAACTATATAAGTGCAACAATCTTGAACGCGATTTTAAACCCCATTTTACTTCACCTCATTTTGGACTTCACTCTCACATTAAGCTTGTAATACGGTTCAAGGTGTGGGTAAACACTATGTGCTCTGTGCAGGCTTGCAAAGAACAACATTGTCCTGACCACCTACAACATCGTCAGCAAGGAAGTGGGCGTCGTCAAAGGGGAGAGTGCAGATGAACCCGTCACAGATGATAAAAAGGTGAACAGGATAAAGAGTGTGATATAATGTGTGTGCAGGAGCTATTTGAGGTAATATTCTGTGTGTATCTGGAATATTTGAGGGGATATATGTGTGTGAGTTATTTGAGGAGCATTATGTGTGTATAGTTTAAGGGGATTTTTATTAATACAGGGTACTGTGAAAATCTTCTCAAACACAATAGGAGCATTTTCCATGTCATCTTGTTCAACAATGGATCTAGCCGTCTCCGTTGTCTAGTGGATAGAGGGTCTTTGATTTTAGTGGATAGAACATTCCATGCTTTCTGATAACTAAAGATGTTAAAAGATGGTACTTGTTGCCTGGGGCTCGGCATAAACAGGTTAAAACAAGAACTGTTTGGCTTGGAGTCAGTATACTGTGTCTGAGTAGGGTATTGATGTTAAACTGTGTCATGGTATCTTAACATGGCTAGCACTAAGCGTCATGATTCCAGACATGTACAAGCAGCCATACCTACATGTACATGCATGTTGCTATTTGGGTGAAATAATCTTGAACACGATGTTTTCTCATCACCCACCCAGTAACTGATCTTTGTTAAGCATTCAGGATTAATTACAGCTAAGTTGCTGGTGGTCCGGTAGCCTAGTGGTTAAAGCGTTCGCTTGTCACGCCAAGGACCTGATTTCAATTCCCGAACTGGGTCCAAGGTGTGAAGCCCATTTCTGGTGTCCCCCTGGCGTGATATTGCTGGAATATTGCTAAAAGCAGCATAAAATCAAACTCACTCACACACTACAGCTAAGTTGTATTGAGGATCTGCAGTGTTAAGTACTCATACCTCAAAGTGAGTAAGGGGGCGGTCGAGTAGCCTAGTGGTTAAAGCGTTCGCTCGTCACACCGAAGATCCGGGTTCGAATCCCGACATGGGTTCAATGTGTGAAGCCCATTTCTGGTGTCCCCCGCCGTGATATTGCTGGAATATTGCTAAAAGCGGTGTAAAACCAAACTCACTCACTCACTCACTCAATGTGAGTAACTTGCTGTATCAGGATTCAGAGGAAAAGACAGGCCCACAGCCGATGATGTTGAGGATCGGATGGGAGAGAATCATTTTAGACGAGGGTCACAACATCAAGAATCACAAGAGTCTGACCGCCATGTCCGTGTCGAAGCTTCGAGCCAACTTCCGCTGGGCTCTCACTGGAACCCCCATACAGAACGACCTGCTGGATATGTACTCTCTGCTCAGGTGAGACAAACGACCAAGGCCCCGTTCCACAAAGCCATCTTAGCGCTAAGGTAAACGAAGTCCCATGCTTTAACAGTGGCTTACTATAGTCGTAGTGCTAAAATAAACTTTGTGCCCTGGCCCAGAATTGATGACATACAGGCCATCGTGATTCTACCATCCAGTCACGTGATTCCATGAGATTGTAACTGCGAATGCATAGACCACTGCAGATTTTGTTGAATATTGCTTAACATACACATACTTAGACAAACAAATCGTCATATGTCGTGAAAGTGGTAAAATTGTTTCATTGTAACCATGGTAACTTGACAGGTTTAACATGTATAGTTTCTGTTACAATGGCTGATTTTAGAACATATTTGATACTCCGTAGTATTATAGCTTTTTTCAGTCTGAAAAGAGATTTCATTGAAACATCTTTTGAGTTTAAATGTTATGTAATAATAATAAAAAAATACCCAAAACCACGTTGAATTTGTATTTTCAGATTTCTGCGATGTTCGCCATTCGATGAGTACAAGGTGTGGAAGAAGCACGTGGACACGGGGAAATGTAAGTGTCATTCAATATCTATCTACCACTGGTTTGACTGACTTGATTATGCAGAGGCCATTGTTATATGCACAGGCCATTGTCATATTTACAGGCCATTGTTATATGCACAGGGCATTGTTATATGCACAGGCCATTGTTATATGCACAGGGCATTGTCATATTTACAGGCCAATGTTATATGCACAGGCCATTGTCATATGCACAGGCCATTGTTATATGCACAGGCCATTGTTATATGCACAGGCCATTGTTATATGCACAGGCCATAGTCATATGCACAGGCCATTGTTATATTCACAGGGCATTGTTATATGCACCAGCCATTGTTATATGCACAGGCCATTGTTATATGCACCGGCCATTGTTATATGCACAGGCCATTGTTATATGCACAGGCCATTGTTATATGCACAGGCCATTGTCATATTTACAGGCCATTGTTATATGCACCAGCCATTGTTATATGCACAGGCCATTGTTATATGCACAGGCCATTGCAGGGTTCGAAATTTAGGGACGCTAAGACGCAAAATGCGTCTTAATTTATGATTTTGCGTCTATAAATCAAAATAAAGACGATATTTTTTGCGTCTTGCTTTTTTCCGTTTAACAATTGGTTGAGAAATACCTAAATTTCTAAATTCACCGTGATAACATTTGATTTCGCGAAGATTATCCTTGATTTGTTTACCTCCAATTTAGAGTTACCTCCCCATTCGCGTTTCCGGGAAAAACTTTTACTTCTTTTCAACTTTCGTGAACGCGGACTATTCCGAGCTCTTTTTGACCAATGAACATATAGCACGGAGATTAATATTATGCAAATGACGTATGTCTATTTTCGGGAGACCAATCAAATGGCGTAAAAACTATGTCATCGGTAATTTATTCAATTGACCCAAGGTCGTTTCTTATTTTAAGATGACATGCCATCCTCGAATCCCAGACGACACCCGTAGGCCGGTTGACTGACGAAGCCGTAGTCACGTCAAAATAGTATATAATTTTATTAACCTACCTGTCCTATGATTAATTTATTTAATCTATCACATTTCACAATGTCTTAAATACGTATTCCATTTCAATTTATCATTTCTTATCGATAAATTAAAAAATATTCACTAGGCTATTTCCCGCAATGTTATTGTAAATAAAATCTCGAAAACACTTTTCGACAACGGGTCCACATCGAACATGTCAAAGAGCAATGTAAAGACATTTCAAGCTATATATTATACAAAGTAATAGATAAAATTTTAAAAATATATCTTAAAGTTGTCAAACTTACATATAAGTTATTATTTCCATCTTTTCGTGCGATCGCGTGTAATGTAAGTCAAATGACATCTCGGCTTTCGTCGTCTCAATTTGGGTGCAGGCTAAAACGGCACCTCAGCAAAACGTCACCGATTTCTCTGGCGAAAACGGCACCGCATTTGGCGAAAACGGCTACTATGTGACAGGCGAAAACGGCACCTCTATTTACCAGGAGGATATTCTCTTGGCCTCACAAAAAATGTCCTGGACAGTAGGGGGCTAATTTCTACTGTAAACTTGTTTAAACATTTCACTATTATTAGTGTTTGTAAGAGACGATGTGAGTTTAATTTCATTTATTTTACTTCAAGGCATGTTATGTTTTCACAATAAGTTGAGTTGCGTATAGGCTAAGTTGGATTATAGTTGGAGTAGAGGCTAAATTCTAATGTAAGCTAGTTGTAACATTTCACAATTATTGGTGTTTGCAAGCGACCATGTTATTTAATATCATTTATTTTATCAAGGTTAAAAAAACATAAGGTGCCGTTTTCGCCAGGCAATAGTAGCCGTTTTCGCCTGAGGCGAGGTGACGTTTTCGCCCATCGGTGCCGTTTTCGCCAGGTGACGTTTTGCTGAGGTGCCGTTTTAGCTATAACCCCTCAATTTCCTCGGTTCGGAGACGATGTTTAATGCAAAAATATAAGCATGAAAAATCTTTGTCACAGCTCGTAACCTGGCACGATTACATCTATGAAGTTCCATATTTCTAATATAGATCGCAATTTCCTGCTTAAAACGTTCAGAATAACACGATTTAACAAAATTCTTTCGTCAAATTCTGAAATTTATCATACCATAGATGTAATTTGATTGGCCGACTTAGGTCACGTGCTCAGATTTGACCAGTCACGAACCTTGTAGCAGATTTTGGCAAAGACAGAGTCATTAGAAACCAATTTTATCGAAGCTTTCTAGCGACGTGTCACATGGCAGTCTTCGACGAACGTGTTATTTGAAAACGGAGGTATCTCTTCATGTTACTGAACGGACAGCCGCTGTTATCGGGAAATGGGTGATGGCAGATACCAGATCTATTTACAATTCTTTTAAACATATTTTTCGAATTGCGTTTTTTATGAAATCTTATAGATTCTGTTTGCAAATATCGTCAATTTTGCGCTTCCTTGGTCCTTAATCTGGACGTTATGAATGTGTTTACATTTTCATTATTTACAACGAACATAATTAAGTTGTAAATGCATTATCTAAATAATGTGATAAACATAACATATGTTATAAACAATAGGATTGGAACTTGAAATGATGTATAATATGTGGTAGCAAAGATGTTTTACAAACATGCAGATATTTTCTTTGATAAATGTTTTATGAGTGTAATTTAATTACTTTGTTATCTGAATGTCATAACATGCATAATCAGCCATTATTTATATGCAGCATAAATCATGATCATCATGATCATGCAATCTTGTGATATATATTTTGAAGTTTTGAGTTGAGAAAAAATAATTGCTTGTTGATTTTTGATTTTGCTTGTAACTTTTAAAACCACAAGCAAAAATTTGCTTGTGCCTAAAAAAATTAAATTCTAACCCTGCATTGACATATTTACAGGCCATTGTTACATAGCTGGAATACAGCTGACAGCAGCAACAGTAGGTCCTTGCTCACATGAACTGTGGTCTATCTTAATGAAGAGGTTGGCTTGATTATTTCCCCAGCCCAAGGGACGACCAAACTGAACACCATTGTCAGGTCGCTGCTGCTGCGACGCACCAAGAACCAGACTGGGAAAGAAGGGAAACCTTTAGTAAGCATCTTTGTCTCCCTTACCTCTCGACAGTCAGCAGTAGAAATCTGTAATGAGTAGGTAAACTGTGTACAGTTGGTATGTAAACTGTCTACTGTAATTATTACCAGTCTAAAGCATGTAAACTCTCAATTTACTTTGAACATTGTTCATCTTTTTCGTCAGGTGAATCTACCAACGAAGTCAGTAGAAACTTCTGAGGTCCAGCTGACACCGGAGGAGAGAAAGATATATGACAAAGTCTTTGCCCAGACAAAGTAAGATGTTTTTAACAAACTAAACAATCGGCTCAACTCTGCCTAGTTGTTCCGTTGTATGCATACAATTGAGTTTTTTCTTTTTATTTAACAACATGTTGATATGATTTTGCAGACTGTTCATATCAAGGGTTTGAAATTCCTTTTATAAGTGTTTCCATGGCATGGCTGAAATCATTATGGCATGGTTGCAATTATCATGGCATGGTTGAAATCATCATGGCATGGTTGAAATCATAATGGCATGGTTTAAAATCATCATGACATGGTTGAAATCATCATGATATGGTTGAAATCATAATGGCATGGTTGAAATCATCATGGCATGGTTGAAATCATAATGGCATGGTTGAAATCATAATGGCATGGTTGAAATCATCATGACATGGTTGAAATCATAATGGCATGGTTGAAATCATAATGGCATGGTTGAAATCATCATGACATGGTTGAAATCATCATGACATGGTTGAAATCATCATGACATGGTTGAAATCATAATGGCATGGTTGAAATCATAATGGCATGGTTGAAATCATCATGACATGGTTGAAATCATCAGCATGGTTGAAATCATCATGACATGGTTGAAATCATCATGACATGGTTGAAATCATCATGACATGGTTGAAATCATAATGGCATGGTTGAAATCATCATGACATGGTTGAAATCATAATGGCATGGTTGAAATCATAATGGCATGGTTGAAATCATCATGGCATGGTTGAAATCATCATGGCATGGTTGATATCATGGCATGGTTGAAATCGTAATGGCATGGTTGAAATCATAATGGCATGGTTGAAATCATCATGACATGGTTGAAATCATAATGGCATGGTTGAAATCATAATGGCATGGTTGAAATCATCATGACATGGTTGAAATCATCATGACATTGTTGAAATCATAATGGCATGGTTGAAATCATCATTGCATGGTTGAAATCATCATGGCATGGTTGAAATCATGGCATGGTTGAGATCATTATGGCATGGTTGAAATCATCATGGCATGGTTGAGATAGGTCCCAGGTGCATTCATGGCTCACTTGGAAATCAGTTTTTTGTTCTGAAAGTACCTTGTAATGATGTGATAAGTGTATTTTGGCACCCGTAAACTGGACAAACACTTTGAAACACATGAAAATATGACCATACTGAATTAAGCGGCTTTGTGAAAAGAATTTAAGATAACCATTTCTTCTATAATATGTTTAAGAGTCTCGAACGTGGAGTTTCACTGTTATGCTGTGCTTCTTTACATTAAGACTAGACCCATGAAGATCCAGGTTAGAATTGGCCTTCTGCAACCCATGCTTGTCGTAAGAGGCAACTAATGGGATCGGGTTGTCAGGCTCCCTGACTTGGTTGATGCATGTCATCATATCCCAATTGTTTAGATTGATACTCAAGAGGTTAATCACCGGATTGTCTGGTCCAGACTCAATTATTATCAGACTGCTGTCTGATAGCTAGAATGTAGCTGATTGAGGCGTTAAACTACAAACAAGCATAAACAAAAACAAGGAAAAACAACACAAAGCTCTCTTTTAAAACTTGTTCAAAGAATTGAACATCAAAGCCACTCTTTTCCAGATCGACTGTGCAGGACTATGTCAAACGTCACGAGGAGAAGGAGATGGGGATACATCAAGGTACCTCCGAGTCTTCGTCATCGTCCAACCCCTTCAGGGACAGCAGTTCACAGAGTGGGAGGGGAGGGGCGTGGACCTCCCATGGGGCAGGGTTTGACAACGTCCCTCAGCCACAAGGAAAGAAGGCTGGAGCGAGCGAGCTGTTGGTCCTCCTCTTGCGACTTCGTCAGTGCTGCTGCCATCTCAGCCTCATGAGGGATGTAAGTGTAGGAGTTGTCTCCCTTAATGTTGAACCTAAAGTTGTGATCCTCCTCAGCATTACACCATGGGTTATTATCTCCCTTACTATTGAACCTCTTGTCTCTTCTTTACTATTGAACCTCTTGTCATCTCCTTTACTATTGAACCTCTTGTCATCTCCTTTACTATTGAACCTCTTGTCATCTCCTTTACTATTGAACCTCTTGTCATCTCCTTTACTATTGAACCTCTTGTCATCTCCTTTACTATTGAACCTCTTGTCATCTCCCTTACTATTGAACCTCTTGTTGTCATCTCAATTACTGTTGAACCTCTTGTTGTCATCTCCCTTACTGTTGAACCTCTTGTCATCTTCCTTACTGTTGAACCTCTTGTCATCTCCCTTACTGTTAAACCTCTTGTTGTCATCTCCCTTACCATTGAACCTCTTGTTGTCACCTCCCTTACTGTTGAACCTCTTGTCATCTCCCTTACTGTTAAACCTCTTGTTGTCATCTCCCTTACTATTGAACCTCTTGTTGTCATCTCCCTTACTATTGAACCTCTTGTTGTCATCTCCCTTACTATAGAACCTCTTGTTGTCATCTCCCTTACTATTGAACATCTTGTTGTCACCTCCCTTACTGTTGAACCTCTTGTCATCTCCCTTACTGTTAAACCTCTTGTTGTCATCTCCCTTACTATTGAACCTCTTGTTGTCATCTCCCTTACTATTGAACCTCTTGTTGTCATCTCCCTTACTATAGAACCTCTTGTTGTCATCTCCCTTACTATTGAACCTCTTGTTGTCACCTCCTTTGTGATATCATTTTCCACTACACCACAATTTTTAGATGTGTATAACTTTATGATGTGTGTTGCTGCAGCACATTGAGCAGGAGACGATGGAGAATGAGGGCATTGAGTTGACGTTGGAGGAGCAGATGAAGGGGATGATGTTGGAGGAGATGTCAGCAGGGGAGGACGGGGCCAAGGCGGGGTCGTCGCCCTTGTTTGAGAAGTCCGCTTCAAGCACGAAGGTATATTGTCCAAACACCAGAATCAAACTTACAGAATAATAATCCTGCAATAATATCAGGATCGGGTGGTCAGGCTCGCTGACTTGGTTGATGCATGTCATCTTATACCATTTGCATAGATTGCTGCTCATTATGTCAATCACTGGATTTTAGGGGTGACTATTGGTCTGGAAATCACTATTGCGATAACTATTGATATTGAATTAAACCTTGGAACTGAAGTTTCCTTTAACTGTGATAACCATAACAACAAATAAAAAGTAAAGTTTGAGATATGACTGATTTGTTTTTCTTTAACCTAATGATTTAAGAAAAAGAAACTTCCACATTACCATGTGTAAATTACTACCACTCATGATCAAAAGAAAAACAAATTTGAACAGCGTGGCATGTTTTTTTATTAATGTGGTAAATACAATCGAAACTATCGAAATTACTAACTGAAATCGATACTATTGATCGGAAACTGATTTAACAATCGATTTATTGACTTTAAGTGCTTACATATAGCAATATATCAATATTTCTATATATCTTGACACCCCTACTGGAGATTCTTTTCAAGACTTGATTATTTACAGTCCGCTATCATATAGCTGGATTGCAGCGTAAAACAACAACAGACAACTAAAGCATTCAACCATTACCTATGTTTTAAATCGTATAACAAATGGAAAATAGCATAAACACAGATTTTGGCCCACTAACCCACCAACTTTAGGAGGTGAGCACTGTTCGGGCTTGTAAAGTCTCAGGTAAAGTTGCATCCCTCATCTTGACAGTTATTGTGTTTTTGCTTCAGTTGAAAGAATTAATGTCGACGCTGCAAACAATTAGGAAAGAAAGCAAACCAGGATCTGTTATAAAGAGGTGAGATACAACCTGATGCCGAGATGGAGGAACACCAACACTCTTTGAACATCATCACTCTTTGTACACCAACACTCTTTGAACATCATCACTCTTTGTACACCAACACTCTTTGTACACCAACACTCTTTGTACACCATCACTCTTTGTACACCAACATTCTTTGTACACCAACACTCTTTGTACACCAACACTCTTTGTACACCAACACTCTTTGAACATCAGCACTCTTTGTACACCAACACTCTTTGTACACCAACACTCTTTGTACACCAACACTCTTTGTACACCAACACTCTTTGAACATCAGCACTCTTTGTACACCAACACTCTTTGTACACCAACACTCTTTGTACACCAACACTCTTTGAACATCAGCACTCTTTGTACACCAACACTCTTTGTACACCAACACTCTTTGTACACCAACACTCTTTGTACACCAACTCTCTTTGTACACCAACACTCTTTCTACATCAGCACTCTTTGAACATCAGCACTCTTTGAACATCAGCACTCTTTGAGCATCAGCACTCTTTGTACATCAGCACTCTTTGTACATCAGCACTCTTTGAACATCAGCACTCTTTGTACACCAACGCTCTTTGTACATCAGCACTCTTTGAACATCAGCACTCTTTGTACACCAACACTCTTTGTACATCAGCACTCTTTGAACATCAGCACTCTTTGTACACCAACACTCTTTGTACACCAACACTCTTTGTACACCAACACTCTTTGTACATCAGCACTCTTTGAACATCAGCACTCTTTGTACACCAACACTCTTTGTACATCAGCACTCTTTGAACATCAGCACTCTTTGTACACCAACACTCTTTGTACACCAACACTCTTTGTACATCAGCACTCTTTGAACATCAGCACTCTTTGTACACCAACACTCTTTGTACATCATCACTCTTTGTACACCAACATTTTTTGTACACCAACACTCTTTGTACACCAACACTCTTTGTACACCAACACTCTTTGTACATCATCACTCTTTGTACACCAACACTCTTTGTACACCAACACTCTTTGTACACCAACACTCTTTGTACATCATCACTCTTTGTACACCAACACTCTTTGTACATCATCACTCTTTGTACACCAACACTCTTTGTACACCAACACTCTTTGTACACCAACACTCTTTGTACATCAGCACTCTTTGAACATCATCACTCTTTGAACATCAGCACTCTTTGTACACCAACACTCTTTGTACATCAGCACTCTTTGAACATCAACACTCTTTGTACACCAACACTCTTTGTACATCATCACTCTTTGTACATCAGCACTCTTTGTACACCAACACTCTTTGTACACCAACACTCTTTGTACACCAACACTCTTTGTACATCAGCACTCTTTGAACATCATCACTCTTTGAACATCAGCACTCTTTGTACACCAACACTCTTTGTACATCAGCACTCTTTGAACATCAACACTCTTTGTACACCAACACTCTTTGTACATCATCACTCTTTGAACATCAGCACTCTTTGTACACCAACACTCTTTGTACATCATCACTCTTTGTACACCAACACTCTTTGTACACCAACACTCTTTGTACACCAACACTCTTTGTACATCAGCACTCTTTGAACATCAGCACTCTTTGTACATCAATTCTCTTTGAACATCAGCACTCTTTGTACATCAGCACTCTTTGAACATCAGCACTCTTTGTACATCAATTCTCTTTGAACATCAACACTCTTTGTACATCAGCACTCTTTGTCCACCAACACTCTTTGTCCACCAACACTCTTTGTCCACCAACACTCTTTGTACACCAACACTCTTTGTACACCAACACTCTTTGAACATCAGCACTCTTTGTACACCAACACTCTTTGAACACCAACACTCTTTGTACACCAACACTCTTTGTACACCAACACTCTTTGTACACCAGCACTCTTTGTACATCAGCACTCTTTGTACACCAACACTCTTTGTACACCAACACTCTTTGTACATCAGCACTCTTTGTACATCAGCACTCTTTGTACACCAACACTCTTTGTACATCAGCACTCTTTGAACATCAGCACTCTTTGTACATCAGCACTCTTCGAACATCAGCACTCTTTGTACATCAGCACTCTTTGTACACCAACACTCTTTGTACACCAACACTCTTTGTACACCAACACTCTTCGAACATCAGCACTCTTTGTACATCAGCACTCTTTGTACACCAACACTCTTCGAACACCAACACTCTTTGTACACCAACACTCTTTGTACACCAACACTCTTTGAACATCAGCACTCTTTGTACACCAACACTCTTTGAACACCAACACTCTTTGTACACCAACACTCTTTGTACACCAACACTCTTTGTACACCAGCACTCTTTGTACATCAGCACTCTTTGTACACCAACACTCTTTGTACACCAACACTCTTTGTACATCAGCACTCTTTGTACACCAACACTCTTTGTACATCATCACTCCAATGATCCTATCCTGTTCACTCATTGAGAGTTTCCGCTGGCCCAGTGGTGTAAGGCCTCACCATTCACTCGGCACTACTGTGACCCTAGTTACTGCGGGCTGTGGTTTGAATCCCTGATATTCTGGATGATACTTTGATTATTTATGCATCTCTTCGAAAACTTATAAGAAAGTAGCAGGGGTAGGAGGGGCGATTTAGGAGATAAACCTACCGGTACTGTGGTTTGAAATTTCAGGTCGTCTCACTGTAGAATCGGTACCTCTTCTGTTTGATGCAGAACCAAACGCTTTAGTTTTAGAATTAATATGCTTTCATGACATTGAAGAATGCTTGATTCTGATTGCTTAAAACAAGGTATCAATTTTTAATTGTTACCTCTAAGTTAAGAATTTTCACAAAGACGTGCATATGAATACATCGATAGCCTAAGTATTGATCCATAAAAATATGGCTACTCATAACCCATGAAGACTGCATTTGTTTGATATCGGATCATCATCTGATTTCTTGACATTCTAGACCTTAACCTGACATTAAAGCATTCAGTTTCAAATTAAGTAGAAGAATGGTGTCAGCAGATTGCATCATCCCTGTATTTTGTGTAGTGTGGTTGTGTCCCAGTGGACGAAGATGCTGGACATCGTCGCCGTGCACCTGCGGAGGGTCAACATCACCTACAACGTGATACAGGGCAGCATCCCCGCCAAGAAGAGGATCGACATGGTGGAAGATTTCAACACAAACCCAAAAGGGGCAGAGGTATGTGAGAGTAACATGGTGTTAACAAGACTGAATTACAGCTTGAGAAGCGAGATAGACTCCTGCAGAATTTTAGAGACAAGTGTTTCTGGCAGGTGGACTCAATACCGAAATAACAAAACCTGGTGAAGATTTGATAAAAGACATACATGTATTTCCATTGTGCTCTTTTGGGATGTTCTTTCACAAAATAATCTTTTGAGGAAAAATATTGTCTAGTCTTGAAAGTCTATTGACATGTTTCAGCCAGGTGACCTATTGATCCCACAGTTGAATATTTCTATGTACATGAAGTCCTTGATGTAGGTATTGATGGAAAGTAAAGACCTGTGAAGGGTCCATGGGGACCATGTCTCCCATCTCGTGACACAGACACACCATTCATCTTCAACATGGCAGGATATATTCTTCTGCAGTATTGTGTTCCCTTATTTGTTTCCATCAGTATATATATTTCTTTCGCTCGATTCAACTAGTGTCAGGGATATATCTAGACCTGCTCAGAAGCCCAGTCTGCAGCAAATGTTGTTAAAAATTCCCAAATTGGAATTAAGATTTCCCAATTCATGTTCATATACATGTATGTAACTACAAATGGATTTGCATTTGTAACCTGTATTTCACAGATAACAGGACTAATAAAGAGTAAGAGATTTTAATGCTAAGTATTATTGCATTGAATAGGATGTCAAAATTCAATGTTAAAATATCTGTTAATTTAAGAAAATATGAACTGTAAAAGAATCCCAATTTGAAGAAAATAACAAATTTTTTTTCATAGTTTGCCTGTTAGGGTCTCTCAGTTTGGAATCCTGGATAAGTGCCAGAGAGTCCTGAACTAGCATCTGATGTAAAAGTTTAACTGTCATGGTGTTAAAACATTTCCAAGGTAGGTAACTCTAAGTACTGCCTTTTTTCAGGTGATGTTGGTGTCGCTGAAGGCCGGCGGTGTTGGCCTCAACCTCATCGGTGGGAGTCACCTGTTCCTGTTAGATAACCACTGGTAGGGGCATGAACACATTCTCTCTCACTGCTTCTTTGACCCGTGAAGATTCCGGGGTAGAATAGGTCTTCAGCAACCCATGCTTGCTGTAAAAGGTGACTATGCTTGTCGCAAAAGGCGACTAACGGGATCGGGTGGTCAGGCTCGCTGACTTGGTTGATGCATGTCATCGATCCCAATTGTGTGGATCGATGCTCATGATATTTATCACTGGATTGTCTGGTCCAGACTAGATTATTTACAGGCCGCCGTCATATAGCTGTAATATTGCTGAGTGGGGTGTTAAACAACAAACCAACCAACCAACCAAATCTTTGCTTCCTTACATGTCTCTAGGACGTAGTACGAGGGTGGCGGTGGTGTAGCCTGCTGGTTAATGCGATTTCTGACCACTTGACCAGTTTGACATGTACAGGCTGATGACATTTGGCACACTTTACTTAACGTCATCTACAGGACATTGTTCATCCTCAGAAGCCCTGCACTGAGAGGTGATCTCCTTGACTGTAACACCACTCTTTCGTGAGTGAAGAAAATCAGAAGAGGACAATCTGAATATATTACTTAGGAAAATAGAATGTCAGTTAAATATTATGTTAATACTGCAATTGAAATAGTTTTAATGATTCAGACAGACATAATTTTGCATTCCATTTTGATATTCAATATATCAACACCTGTTGGCAAAGTTTTTCGACTCCTTGGCAAGCCTATTTGTTTTGAACTTTTATTGACTCATGATGATATATTGGATATCAAAAGACACTTGGACGAGATTCTCTATGTCTCAAGCTAAGATTGAGTTGTATTCCTTCATTAGGTAAATGACAATCAACAACAACTCGACCTGTGAAGATCCGGTATAGAATAGGTCTTCAGAAACCCATTCCTGATTTTGATGTTAAACAACAAACAAACAACAAACAACAACTTGGAGATAAAGACCTGTGTGTGACCTGTGTTTGACCTATGTTTGACCTGTTTGACACATGTGTGACCTATGTTTGACCTGTATTTGACCTATGTTTGACCTGTGTTTGACCTATGTTTGACCTTATGGCAACCCACTGTTGTACAGGAACCCCGCTCTGGAGGAACAGGCTTGCGACAGAATCTACCGTGTTGGTCAGAAGAGGGATGTCGTTATACACAGGTCAGCCTCCTCCATACACAGGCTCTCTCTAAACCAGATATCTAACAATACAAGCTCTATACATAAGTGACCCGTGAAGATCCGGGGTAGAATAGGTCTTCAGCAACCCATACTTGCTGTAAAAGGCGACTGTGCTTGTCGTAAGAGGCGACTAACAGGATCGGGTAGTCAGGCTCGCTTGATGCATGTCATTGTATCCAAATTGCGTGGATCGATGCTCATGATGTCAAGCACTGGATTGTCTGGTCCAGACTCGATTATATACAGACTGCCATCATATAGCAGGAATATTGCTGAGTGCAGCGGTAATTGACCGAAATGGAAAGTGAAGCAAATTGATCTTTTTACGTTTACCAATTACTAACTTGATCTCATTACGTCAGACCAGTTTAATTACTTGCCTTACAGACCTGCCTGTCATTTATTACCCAACCCTCTCTTCTCCTGCCCACTCACCCACCAAATATTTAATGATAAAACTGTAAATAAAAGTGACAAAACCCTTTCTGTATTCAATAGAAAACCTCTTCCAAAAGCAGATTCGACCATACGATTCCGGCTATATCACAAGCATGTATTTATGAATACTATCCAATAGTAACACAAGTAAGTCAGTTGCTTTGGTCTGAAGTAGAAAGGAAGTACATGAGATGTGTCACTGTTGTTTGCACTGCCTGACCACAAGGATCTCTGTCCAGGTTCCTGTGTAAGGACACGATAGAGGAGAAGATCCTGGAGCTGCAGAAGAGGAAGCTCTCTCTAGCCAAGAATGTTCTTTCAGGGTACGTCAACAAATCTCCTTCCCCACATTCTTCCTGCTCATTGTATTTGACAATATTATTATTATTATTCCCCGTGTCCGTGTTGGAAGTAGGCATCTTCCTGAGGCAAGGGAGTTAACTGACTATAAAAGTCTGGTTTCCACCCTCGAACTAGGCTGGAAATATGGAGTTACATTTTGGCTGGACTAACGAGTCTATGCACAGTCCAATCAAATTCTCGGAATGAATTCAACATCTTGTCTGTAAACTGCCGTACAGATTTCGGTTGATTGCAGGATTTGCAAAGCATGTGTACTGTCAACAGATATTTTCCAAATCTTTTCATGTTTTAATCAAGGTTCTCACATGTTTTGATGTACTTCAAAAAGCAAGACCTGTTTTATTACAATATAGACCTTGATTATCGATCAGATCGTCTTCACTGGGCACTGCCATTATGTTTGAAGCAAATTCAAGTGAAATGAGAGGTGGAATCTGATTGGTCAATAAGAGGAACATAGAAGGGACATAACTCTTCATAGCCACTGATTGCTCTATGATCGAGCCTAGTTTGTCAAGGGTGGAAACTGGGCTTTGGGAAGTTTGTAGTAGGCGGTAGCCAAGTGGTCAGACCATTGGCTTGTCATGATGAAAACCTGGGTTCAGTTCCCCACATGGGATCAGAGTGTGAACCTTGGTGTCCCTTGTGATATGGCTTGAATATTGCTGAGACAGTATAAAACCCTTCGTACTGCACTGTTATCCTTGACATCCTGATAGTGTCTCCTCGTGAAGATCATGCTTGTCACTGACATGGTTGATGCATGTAATCATATCCCAATTGTGTAGATTGATGCTCAATCACTGAATTGTCTGGTCCAGATGAATTTTTTTAAAGACTGATGTTTTTTCTCTTACATATATAGAATGTATGAAGTCCATGTTAGGTGCCATTATAATGCTGGAATATTGTGGAGTAAAAACTCACACACTCAGTCACTATTAGTATATGTGAATGTTATATATGGGGCAATATTTGGTACTGTACAAATATATATTATATTTTCTCTTTCCAGATCTGGTGCTAGCAGCCAGAAGCTGACACTAGCCGATCTACGACAGATGTTTAATGTTTAACCATACCATGTAGATAGTATATAGGAACTTGTCATCCAATACTGGAATCTTGCTAAAAGACTCATTTACTTGCTGTGGGAGAAAGGTACAAAGGCCACTGTTAAGTAGTAGACAGGATGAGTTGTGTTTGAAAAGAAGGAATGAGAAGCTCAGAGGTAAAGAACACATGTCCAGGGTGAAGTCGCTTTTCATTGTGAACTTGTCTTTGATTTCTGTTGGGCTAAAAAAAAGAATAGTCCTGGTTCTCAGGCACCACCCACATCATCATGAAGTCTGCCACACATTTCGTTTTTATTTCCATTTTCAATAAAAATATAAAATCCTAATACTAAAAAAAAATGTTATCCCATATAGCACGCAGTTACCTTTACATGTGCAATGCTTTACTGCACATCTCGTGTTATGGTCATGGCGGCAGTAGGAGTTTGTATGCTTGTTTATATAGGGAGGCTCTTTCTCACAATTGTTTATTTGGTTACATACTAGTTTGAACAAGCAAAAAAAACCCAGCCCGCCCACATTTTCTTTTCTTATGTCATTGCCTGAGAACCAATTCTTTTATTTTTTTAAGCGTTTCAAAGGCATACCTTCATAAAACATCAGCTACTTTTCTGTGTTTCCTCAAAGGGATCTTACAGGTACATCTATCATATGTGGGAGTTACGATCATCTGACTGGGAAGAGGCTTTGTGGAACATGCTCATGTCCTATTTGTTTTGATGGTATCTTAGGTAGCGTGCGCTACCTTAATTTGAATATATCTGTGGTATTTATTTTTCTGTTGAATGATATTTGCAAGTGCTACCGTTTAGTGCTATGTCCTGCAGGTCAGTGTGACCCAGCTGTAACATTGCTGACTGCAGATCAGTGTGACCCAGCTGTAACATTGCTGCCTGCAGGTCAGTGTGACCCAGCTGTAACATTGCTGCCTGCAGGTCAGTGTGACCCAGCTGTAACATTGCTGCCTGCAGATCAGTGTGACCCAGCTGTAACATTGCTGCCTGCAGGTCAGTGTGACCCAGCTGTAACATTGCTGACTACAGGTCAGTGTGACTCAGCTGTAACATTGCTGCCTGCAGGTCAGTGTGACCCAGCTGTAACATTGCTGCCTGCAGGTCAGTGTGGCCCAGCTGTAATATTGCTGACTTCAGGTCATTGTGACCCAGCTGTAACATTGCTGCCTGCAGGTCAGTGTGGCCCAGCTGTAATATTGCTGACTTCAGGTCATTGTGACCCAGCTGTAACATTGCTGCCTGCAGGTCATTGTGATATACTTGTTGCCATGATACAGCTGTAACATTCTTGATACATTGTTACATTTACCTCCTCACCCTGGAAATATCCAGAAACTGAAGTGCAAGACTTTATGTTCCAGTCAGCTGGACTTGACTCTACGTCATTTTAATGGCATACTTTTGTTATCCTATTTATTCGCTATGTATAGATAAATATTTCAAACATGCATTATGGTTTGTTGTGCGTTTTACAAGAGGTATCCAAGGGACTTGCATCCAACTGATGTTAGTGGCCCAGTTAGTTTGGCCACTGAAACTTCCCTGAAGTTTGTTTGTTTTATGCGGCACTCTGCAATATTCCAGCTATATGACGGCGGTCGGTAAATAATCAATTCTGGACCAGACAATCCAGTGATTGACATCATGAGCTTCAATCTACGCAACTAGGATACGATGACATGTATCAACCAAGTCAGCGACCCTGACCACCCGATATTGTTAGTCGCCTCTTATGACAAGCATGGGTTGCTGAAGACCAATTCTAACCCGGAATCTTCATGGGCACCAGAAACAGGTTGTCATGGGTTTTGTGTTTAAAACATACATAAGATATATGAAGAGCATATTAAATATAGGCAACTCTCAAGCACCTCCTCCAAGGGGATTCTAGGTAAGAAATGGTCCCCAGTCGAGGCGACTTAATAGATCGGTTGGTCCGACTTCGTGAATGTGTGTCATTGAGCTGTAAGGCACGATTTTTGCTCACAATATTTATCACTGGATTGATTGGTCCTGACTCGATTATTTACACGTCATTGTCATGGAACTGGGTTATTGCTGAGTGTGTGTTAGACAACACACAACTCTGGTGTTGAGAATAGAAATTTAATGAATTCAGTGTCTGTAAGAAAACTTCAACCTGTTTATGGTTCTTGATTTGTCAGCACCATGTTGTATGTTTCACCAAAGCTTCACCAACAATCATTTTAATCAATCTCATGTCAATAGGTCTGTGAGGTGAAATGGGTTTAATGTTGTGTTCAAGATATTTTCACTTAGATCCCGACGTGAAATGGGGTTTAACAACATGTCCAAGATTATTGCACTAATATAGCGACGTGCATGCACGTGTGTGTGTGTGTGTGTGTGTGTGTGTGTGTGTGTGTGTGGCTGTGTGTGTGCGTGTGTGTGTGTGTGGCTGTGTGTGTGTGTGGCTGTGGCTGCTTGTACTAGTCCGGACTGATGCCGATTTATAGTGCTAGCTCACTGAGATACCATGCCGCAGTTTAACATGGATACTTCACTCAGACATAGTATACTGACTCCAAGCCAATCAGTCCTTTTGTCAAGTTAGTGTCAGTGCCAGGCAGGGTAAAAAGTACAACCTTTTAAAGTCTTCTGGTTTGACGCAACCAGGGGATTGAACCACTGACCTTCCACTCTCTGGGTAGATGCTCTATCCACATGACCACAATTAGGTCTGTGAACCAAGGACGAGGATAAGTTCCAGTACGAGTTTTGAGCCTCACATAGAAGGAATTGCTTAATTGTGAAATCTTTTCTTGTTGACATTACATGATGTCACTGAGGTTTATCCACAAAAACCTGCGTCTGTGGAGCACATGGCTTTGCTATGACAAGTCACTGAAAAAATTAAACAGTTAGTTGACCTTTGGTATAGGGACAAACTGGAGGAAGGTGCAATGAACAAGTACGTAAAGATTCGGGGTAGAATAGGTCTTCAGCTACCCATGCTTGCCGTAAAAGGCGACTATGCTTGTAGTAAGAGGCGACTAATGGGATTGGGTGGTCATGCTCGGTGACTTGGGTTGAAGCATGTCATCGATCCACTAGCGTAGATCGATGTTGATAATATCAATCACTGGATTTTGTGGTCCATCCTCGATTATTTACAGACCGCCGTCAAAAAGCTGGAATATTGCTGAGTGCGGCGTTAAACAACAAATCAAACAACTAACTAGTTCCAGAAAAAAGGGCTTTTGGCCACAATCCCTCCATGAGGATATGAGTACAACACAAGGGAAGGATGCCTGTGCTGCTGTATTGGGCAGCAGAGTTTAACTGTGGCAGGGAACGCTTTGAAGACGACCTCCATCCTGGAAGGCCTGTCACATCATCAATGCCAGAAATGATTCAGAGAATCCATGATAAAATGACGACTGAATGACTCAGTATCATATTCTAATTCAGTAGGTTTTTCCCTGGTGAGAGTACATTTCATTATCACAGAAACTTTGACAATGAAGAAAGTATCTGCTCATTTGGTCCCAAAGCTTCTGACATTTGATAAATAAACGCACCATGTGCAATATGTCTGATATTAATCTAGCTCTGTCTGAAGCTGAGCCAGAAAGGTTCTTGCAGTGGTTTGTGACTATGTGACTATTTCTTCCAAATTCCAAACCAACAATCTTCAAGTACTTGATCACTTCACATTCCTTCTTTGTGAGGCTTAGAACATTTGCCCTTGTAGCATATAGGGGGTGAGTGGGTTTGGGAATCCACGTGGTCCCGGATCTGCCCTTGATGCAACTTTCTGAGCTACGTGACCAGTGAATCAAGCCTTTGTTGTGAACGGTTTGAGAATGAACTTATATGACATGTTGAACTTTCTTTATTCAAGTAAATGGTTTCAATATTAACTAAACAAACAATGTACTGTTAGATACTGTGTGGCAAACACCGTTCGGTCTGGATTAACAAATGGTAAAAACCCTAGTTATGAGGCTGTCGAAAAATAAACCAAACAAAAAGGTCTGGAATAACAGTCAAAAGAAACCGTTTTGGCTTTTAACCATTTGCCCTTTTGACTATTTTACACCTTGGCCGTTTTGACTTGCTCTAATATACATGACTATTTCTGAAAGCAGTCACATCCTCGTTCAGTTGTCATGCATGCTCAGCCGTCTTCATTAGCTGTTGCCCATGTTACACACGTACTATCTCCGTCCACACGTTATAAACCCCCGTGAAGATCCGGGTTAGAATAGGTCTTCAGCAACCCAAGATTGTGGTAAGAGGCGACAAACGGGATCGGTGGTCAGGCTCGTCGACTTGGTTGATGCATGTCATCGTATCCACAGGAACTCGTTATTGGTCAGTAAATAAAAATATATACCCCCTATATGTAAGTAGAAGATTTACATATAGGGGGTATATATTTTTATTTACTGACCAATAACTAGTTCCTGTGATCGTAGCCCAATTGCGTGGATCGATGCTCATGATGTCAATCACTGGATTGTGTGGTCCAGGCTTGACTATATACAGACCGCCGTCATATAGCTGGAATATTGCTGTGTGCGGCATTAAACAACAATCAAATAAACAAACAATGAAAAAAACCCTCAAGAAACTGCTACGACAGTGTGTTTGTCGGTGCAGCGATGGCGTACGGCAAACCACGGATTCTAACCCTATTCATGTGACGTAAGACGCTGCAGTGATTGTGATAAAGAATCAAAACATAACAAGGGTTAGACACTCGATAATACAACTTATGCATATACAGGTGCAATATTATATTTTCCATACCAAAATCGTCCCATTTATATTTGAGAGCTCTTTTCGTCTCGGCTGGTAGCTCCCTGTCTGGGATGAAAATATAGCTGTCGTGTGTCCCTCGATATCTGCCATTATCACAGGATTCCTTCCTCATGACGCAGCGTTTCTCCTTCCGCCCGTGTCTCGAGGGGGAGTAAAACAAACGCTTGTCCCTCATGACGTCATAGTCTAGCTTCTCGAACCCCTCTGCTGGGTAAATATCCCCGTTTGTGATCATCACAAGTTTGTCTTTGAAATGTTGGTGCACAAACTCAAATATACCCACGTAAACCCTGGCATTTGGTATTCTGTCGAATTTCAACTTCGGCTGTGTTCCAAGTCTTGATTGGATGTATTCTGGCATACCGTCTTGGTCGTAAAACAGGTGTACCTCGAACACACACGGGTGTCGAAGGGTGTGAATCAAACTCTCCACGTAATCGGCCATCCGTGATTCAACCCTCTCGGGTGTCGGGTCTCGGAAATATGTCTTCTTGTACTTGGGGTCCGTCATCAGAGGGAATGTTGTGAACACTATCAGGTGACTCTTGTTGTACGGCTTGTCCACACCTCGGGCTGACCATGTAATGGTGAGTGTCGAGATATGTTTGATGACATATAACGCGTAGGTTATTACCAATAACCCGAATGCGACTCGGAAGTATTTGAAAGTCGACATCTTGTATAAGCAATGTTATAACTCCCCACAGACGAAGGCGCTGTTATTGGGTTCGAATCCCACATTCAAACCTTTTTTAATCCCCGGCGTGTCACCTACATCAGAATGAAAGAATATATTTATAAAAACTTAATATGAAAAATCCCAAGTATATATTATTCTCGTTAGTGTGCCGAATATGTTAAACCTTATTATGAAATTTGCAGCTTTTTGAAAACATTAAAATTATGTTAATTGCTGCAGTTTATTGATTGTTTAGGTTATGTAAGAAATATATTTATATTTTAATACAACAAAGTACAAACAGGTACAGACCTGTTCCTGTTCTGCCCGCCGTGATATTGCTGGGATATTGCTAAAAGCGTCGTAAACACTAACTCACTCACTGTACCTGTTTTCCTTGGTTTACCAAGGCGGTAGACGCTGACGAGCTGCGCCCCCGCTCCCCAACTGACACACTGTCATATAACTGAATATTGTTCAAAGAGGCGTAAAAACTCACGACCTCATTTTGTTTGTGACCGTGGATGTGTTGTCCGATGTCCAGCTGGGGGAACTAGAAGGAATTAAACACGTCCAGGGACACATACACCCAGCCGCCATCACAACTCTTCACAACTTCGTCGTCGTCGTGAGGCAAGTGTTGAATGTGATGCTTTGTGCTTCTTGTAAATAAACTCCTTTAGTCTCCTCTTCCTAGACTTGCTCCAAGGCTGTACTGAAAAAAATACATGTACATGGATGTGTAGTAATTCTATCCTCCTAACAGACCAAACGTATGCTTGTACTGCATCTCCGTTTTAAGTCTGACGCATGTTTAACTTCTATCAGTCGGAAACCAAAAAAACTGCAATTAAATTTGACATGAACATGCATTCTACATTGAGAGTATGTATCCAAGGCAACATGTATCTCAAGAGAGAACGTGGTTTGGACCAATTGGCAGTCCTGGGAAGTTTAAAAAACCCAAACCCCATCCTCGATTATCCAGTGCGTTACATTTCCATCATGGTCAATACCCTGGTCCCACTAATCACCATAGCCTCGTTTAGAAAGTGACCTTGTCTCCCTGGTATTTGGTGAAATTGTAGTTAACACACAATTTCAAACAAAGATGGCTTTGAGTGAGTGAGTGAGTGAGTGAGTTGTTTTACGCCGCTTTTAGCAATATTCAAGCAATATTACGGCGGGGGACACCACACATGGGATTCACACGTTGTACCCATGTAGGGAATCGAACCCGGGTCTTCGGCGTGACGAGCGAACGCTTTAACCACTAGGCTACCCAGCCCCCACAGTTCAGTGAAACCCCGTGCGGCGCTAAACAACAAACTCAAAGAACCTTAACCTGAAAACCCCACCTTCGTGGCGACAACTGCCGGGATATTCAAAAGGGCAGGACGCTGTACTACTACTACTACTACTACTACTACTACTACTACTACTACTACTAATACAGTTCTCAGGAAGCAGTAAGATCCATAACCAAAAATAGAAACCAGTTGTAACCATGCTGGTAAATAAACGTTAGGTCTAGTTAGCTCACCTTGCACTCCTCCAACTGATTCTCCCTGGTAATTGTAAGAAAGAACCCAGGAATTATTGTCGAAACAAAATCTTAGGCTATGAATTGCGAGCTTGGGTGATTTCGTTACACCGTTTAGAGCTGTAACGGCCTCTGTGCTGAACTACCGTTTTATTGCGTCTATATATAGACGCGATTTCCTATAGACAACCCATACTTTTACAAAGCCGCCGTTATTGTCCTAGCCAGTCGTAGTGTACAGCGTTGTGAGGCTAGGACATTGTAACGTGTGTATATAGGTTTGCTGAACAAAGTGCTTCTTTCAGTGTTCCAGGGGTAACAGCCAGCGCTGTTATGTTCTGGTAGGAAGGCTCTTTATGTTGTCGCCCATACTTTTGTATTGACTGAAATGACCTCTCCTTTTAGGCATAGTCCACACCACTTAATAGAATCACGAAATATCACGATGATTATTTGAAAGAACATAGCTGCATGTGATCTAATTCTTATAAAAGTTGCATGCAATTCCGGCGACAAGAATTATGACTTAGGTGAACTACTCAAACAACACACTCCAGGCAGATCTACCCGATTTGCAGAACACCTGCTGTATCAACCAAAGGTCAAGACTCAAGGATATGGGCATCGGACTTTTGCCTTTTCTGCAGCTACGACTAAAACAATCTTCCGCTTGACCTCGGCACCTCTACATCCTTCACTTCTTTCAGGACCAATCTGAAAACGCACATGTTTCAGAAGGCATATCTTGTCTGAACTGTTTTATCTGGCCGCTGCTTGGAGATTGGAGTAATACGTAATATAATATGTACTATGAACCCCTGATATAACTGGAATACTGTGCAATGCTGCGTTAAACCCGACTCATTCACTCACCCATCCTGGGTAGATGCGATGTACACCTTTTTAGTCAGGTGAACTTAAACAAGGCAACAAGAAGACATCTTCCCGAGGCAAGAGAGTTACCTGACTATAAAAGTCCAGTTTCCACCCTTGCCGACCTAGGCTGGAATTCCTGGGCTGGACCATAGCGCCATCAGTGACTATTACGAGTTATGTCCCTTCTATGCCTCTCCTATGGACCAATCAGATTCCACCTTTCGTATCACTTGCATTTGCTTTAAACAAAATGGCGGCGCCCAGTCAAGACGATGGGATCGATAATCAAGATCTATATTGTGATAAAACGGATCTTACATCACGAACTGCATCAAATCACGTGAGCACCATGATTAAAAACATGAAAAAAATTGGAAAATATCCGTTGACGCCGAGTTGGCGGTGCACATGCTTTGCAAATCCTGACCGAACTCTGCATAACAGTTTACGAACAGGATTTCAATTTCATTGTGCGAATTTGATTGGACTATACAAGACTCGTTAGTCCAGCCAAAATCTAACTCCATAATACCAGCCTTGCTAACGACAACAATATATAAAGTAAGGCATTATATATATCTATCTATATATATCTATATATATATCTATCTATATATATATATCTATATATATATCTATATATATATATATATATATATATATATATATATATATATATATATATATATATATATATATATATATATATATATATATATATATATAGATCCCATTCCTAAGTATATTGGTAGATTTACGTAAATTATTGTAACTGGAATGTCAATACCATGCCCCGGCCCTGTTTGAGTCACAAGAACTGCAGTCGGATCCATTAGCTGTCGTAGATCTTCCCAAACCAAGAGATGCAGAAACGAAGACCAAAGTAACGCTAGTTCTGAAAGATGGTCAGCTGCTTTAATGTATCTAAACAGAGCGGCAAATAACAATGTTCAATTCCTTTAAGAAAAAGAAAAAATTATCATTCCGAAAACAAATCTTATCAATACGAAATTGAAAAAATCTCACTAGATTTTATGCACCTTACGTGTCTGAAAGAGTGAGTGATTGGGTGAGTGAGTTGGATTTAATCTCGCTTTTAACATTATTCCAGTTATATCACGGCGTATCAGCTTAATGTGGGAGTAAAGCCCGAAGTGATGCAGGTCTAAGACGTTTACCACTTCGGTGAAACCCACGAGCTCGGGTATGGTGCTGACAAACCTAGAAACATAATCGGGCCGAACCGGGATTCGAATCCAAAATCATAGGTTTCTGGAATGTTCAAGGGACGCAACTCTACACAGCCAATTGCGGCGCCTTAGACGACCTGGGCGACGGCGGCCACATAATACAGCCGGTGTCTGTCTCTCTCTTTATCTCCGTCCCCCCCCCCCCCCCCCCCCCCCCCCCCTCTCTCTCTCTCTCTCTTTCTCCCCCCCTCTCTCTCTCTTCTCTCTCTGTGTGTCTGTCTCTCTACGTACGTAGTTAATACAGTACCTCGGTATCATTAGCAAATTGGTCATTCCCGAGCTCTAACTTGTTCAAAGTTTGACAATTCTGTCTCCCTAACACAACTAATCAGTTAAGTGTTCAGTATATTGCAGACGAGGGTTGCCTGCTGACTCCAGCAAACAGATGACGTCGTTCCGCACGTACACGTTCGCTTGGTCGACTTTCAAGGTTAACGTCTTAACGATTGGAGAAAGCACACACGATCAATTCAACATAGCTAATTTAGGTGCTGTTTTTTTCTGAATCTTGAAAACTCAGCAGATAATAGGTAAATTATTCATTGCAATTATTTGAACCTGGAGAGGTCCTTGCATGACACGGCTAAATAACACCGATCCAGATTCTAATTTTCAATTTCACGTCTGAACGCTACCGTTTCTGTTCCCACAATGAAGCCTAAATTTCAACTCATTTGCATATTGAGAGGGCCCAATTGGAACATTAATTTTCACGGTGTCAAGATCATAGTGATCATATATTCATTTCCCTCCTGTATCCGTTGTTGTAGTCCCTATATCTAATTCCAAGGGTGGCACTTGTACACTTATGGTGTACTCTGTATTTTACATTGTTGTACAGAAGGACAGAAGGTGAGACCTTAATAAGTCTCTCTCTCTCTCTGTCTCTGTCTCTCTCTTCGCTTTGTCACTCTCTCTCTCACCCTCTCTCTCTTTCTCTGTCTGTCTCTCTACGTACATAGTTAATACCTCGGTATCATTTGCAAATTGGTCATTCCCGAGCTCTAACTTGTTCAAAGGTTGACAATTCTGTCTCCACAACACAACAACAGTCATGTGTTCAGTGTATTGATGCTGTCCTTTTGTATTGAGAGATGTTCATGGAAGCTTGGAATGTTTTGTGAGATTTTACGTACCCTTCAGATGGACGATATTGGAATTATTCAGATGAGTTAGTGAGTTAGTTTTTTTGGCCAGGCTGGACAGCAGAGTCAGCCTATTTAGTTTGCTGTTTGTAAATATCTACCGCATACGAGCACAGACATGGTACTGACAGACCACGGTTCAGGGCGAAGCTTGGATTCGGACCCACGACCAAGGGGCGTTCCCTATCAACTGGTCTTTATTTATCATCCCGTACGACCACTCTTTGTGGCTGACTTTACCATTCATGGTCTGTACCTGTATTTCATAAACAGTTTCATTTAACTTGAACCTTTTTCGCCAACATAGGGTGTCGGGTGTACGAAAAGTCATGTTAAGTCTATCCCTGCTCATATGTCAGAACATATAATGTTTCTTCACAAGGTCTATATATGTTTTCAGTTGGAAGAGACCTTTGACTGAAGCTTTGCAATGTTCTCTACAGTCTCTCGATTTGCTGGGATCGGGAGTCTACGTGCTAGGAGACAGCAAACTAATTCAATTTCCTGCTTGATGAGTTAGTTTGCTGTCTCCTAGCGCCTGTGGCGGTACGCATCGTCTGTCTCTGTGGTAGACATTGTCCGTCCCTGTGGTAGACATTGACCGTCTTTGGAAGTATACATTGTCCGTCTCTGTGGTAGACATTGTCCGTCTCTGGAGGTATAAATTGTCCATCTCTGGAGGTATACATTGTCCGTCTCTGGAGGTATATATTGTCCGTCTCTGTGGTAGACATTGTCCGTCTCTGGAGGTAGACATTGTCCGTCTCTGGAGGTATACATTGTCCGTCTCTGGAGGTATACATTGTCCATCTCCGTGGTATACATTGTCCGTCTCTGGAGGTATACATTGTCCGTCTCTGGAGGTATTCATTGTCCGTCTCTGGAGGTATACATTGTCCATCTCTGGAGGTATACATTGTCCGTCTCTGGAGGTATATATTGTCCATCTCTGGAGGTATACATTGTCCGTCTCTGGAGGTATACATTGTCCGTCCCTGGAGGTATACATTGTCCGTCCCTGGAGGTATACATTGTCCGTCTCTGGAGGTATACATTGTCCATCTCTGGAGGTATACATTGTCCATCTCTGGAGGTATACATTGTCCATCTCTGGAGGTATACATTGTCCATCTCTGGAGGTATACATTGTCCGTCTGTAGGGGTATACATTGTCCATCTCTGGAGGTAGACATTGTCCCTTTCTGGAGGTATACATTGTCCGTCTCTGTGGTAGACATTGTCCGTCTCTGTGGTAGACATTGTCCGTCTCTGGAGGTATACATTGTCCGTCTCTGTGGTAGACATTGTCTGTCTCTGTGGTAGACATTGTCCGTCTCTGGAGGTATACATTTTCCATCTCTGGAGGTATACATTGTCCGTCTGTAGGGGTATACATTGTCCGTCTATGTGGTAGACATTGTCCCTTTCTGGAGGTATACATTGTCCGTCTCTGGGGGTATACATTGTCCGTCTCTGTGGTAGACATTGTCCGTCTCTGGGGGTATACATTGTCGGTCTCTGTGGTAGACATTGTCCGTCTCTGTGGTAGACTTTGTCCGTCTCTGTGGTAGACATTGTCCGTCTCTGTGGTAGACATTGTCCGTCTCTGTGGTAGACATTGTCCGTCTCTGGAGGTAGACATTGTCCGTCTCTGTGGTAGACATTGTCCGTCTCTGGAGGTATACATTGTCCATCTCTGGAGGTATACATTGTCCGTCTGTAGGGGTATACATTGTCGGTCTCTGTGGTAGACATTGTCCGTCTCTGTGGTAGACATTGTCCGTCTCTGTGGTACACATTGTCCGTCTCTGTGGTAGACTTTGTCCGTCTCTGTGGTAGACATTGTCCGTCTCTGTGGTAGACATTGTCCGTCTCTGGAGGTATACATTGTCCGTCTCTGGGGGTATACATTGTCCGTCTCTGGAGGTATACATTGTCCATCTCTGGAGGTATACATTGTCCGTCTGTAGGGGTATACATTGTCCATCTCTGGAGGTAGACATTGCCCGTCTCTGGAGGTATACATTGTCCGTCTCTTGGGGTATACACTGTCCGTCTCTGTGGTAGACATTGCCCGTCTCTTGGGTAGACATTGTCCATCTCTGGGGGTAAACATTGTCCGTCTCTGAGGTAGACATTGTCCGTCTCTGGGGGTATACATTGTCCGTCTCTGTCGTAGACATTGTCCGTCTCTGGAGGTATACATTGTCCGTCTCTGGAGGTATACATTGTCCGTCTCCGTGGTATGCATTGTCCGTCTCTGGGGGTATACATTGTCCGTCTCTGTGGTAGACATTGCCCATCTCTGGGGGTATACATTGTCCGTCTCTGGGGGTATACATTGTCCGTCTCTGGGGGTATACATTGTCCGTCTCTGTGGTAGACATTGCCCGTCTCTGGAGGTATACATTGTCCGTCTCTTGGGGTATACACTGTCCGTCTCTGTGGTAGACATTGCCCGTCTCTTGGGTAGACATTGTCCATCTCTGGGGGTAAACATTGTCCGTCTCTGTGGTAGACATTGTCCGTCTCTGGGGGTATACATTGTCCGTCTCTGTGGTAGACATTGTCCGTCTCTGTGGTAGACATTGACCGTCTTTGGAAGTATACATTGTCCGTCTCTGTTGTAGACATTGTCCGTCTCTGTGGTAGACATTGACCGTCTTTGGAAGTATACATTGTCCGTCTCTGTTGTAGACATTGTCCGTCTCTGTGGTATACATTGTCCATCTCTGGAGGTATACATTGTCCGTCTCTGTGGTATACATTGTCCGTCTCTGGAGGTATACATTGTCCGTCTCTGGAGGTATACATTGTCCATCTCTGGAGGTATACATTGTCCATCTCTGGAGGTATACATTGTCCGTCTCTGGAGGTATACATTGTCCATCTTTGGAGGTATTCATTGTCCGTCCCTGGAGGTATACATTGTCCGTCTCTGGAGGTATATATTGTCCATCTCTGGAGGTATACATTGTCCGTCTCTGGAGGTATACATTGTCCATCTTTGGAGGTATTCATTGTCCGTCCCTGGAGGTATACATTGTCCATCTCTGGAGGTATACATTGTCCGTCTCTGGAGGTATATATTGTCCATCTCTGGAGGTATACATTGTCCGTCTCTGGAGGTATACATTGTCCATCTCTGGAGGTATACATTGTCCATCTCGTGAGGGATACATTGTCCGTCTGTAGGGGTATACATTGTCCCTCTCTGTGGTAGACATTGTCCATCTCTGGAGGTATACATTGTCCGTCTGTAGGGGTAAACATTGTCCGTCTCTGTGGTAGACATTGTCCGTCTCTGTGGTAGACATTGTCCGTCTCTGGAGGTATACATTGTCCGTCTCTGTGGTAGACATTGTCCGTCTCTGTGGTAGACATTGTCCGTCTCTGGAGGTATACATTGTCCATCTCTGGAGGTATACATTGTCCGTCTGTAGGGGTATACATTGTCCGTCTATGTGGTAGACATTGTCCCTTTCTGGAGGTATACATTGTCCGTCTCTGGGGGTATACATTGTCCGTCTCTGTGGTAGACATTGTCCGTCTCTGGGGGTATACATTGTCGGTCTCTGTGGTAGACATTGTCCGTCTCTGTGGTAGACATTGTCCGTCTCTGTGGTAGACATTGTCCGTCTCTGTGGTACACATTGTCCGTCTCTGTGGTAGACTTTGTCCGTCTCTGTGGTAGACATTGTCCGTCTCTGTGGTAGACATTGTCCGTCTCTGTGGTACACATTGTCCGTCTCTGTGGTAGACTTTGTCCGTCTCTGTGGTAGACATTGTCCGTCTCTGTGGTAGACATTGTCCGTCTCTGGAGGTATACATTGTCCGTCTCTGGGGGTATACATTGTCCGTCTGTAGGGGTATACATTGTCCGTCTCTGTGGTAGACATTGTCCGTCTCTGGAGGTATACATTGTCAATCTCTGGAGGTATACATTGTCCGTCTGTAGGGGTATACATTGTCCGTCTATGTGGTAGACATTGTCCCTCTCTGGAGGTATACATTGTCCGTCTCTGGGGGTATACATTGTCCGTCTCTGTGGTAGACATTGTCCGTCTCTGGGGGTATACATTGTCGGTCTCTGTGGTAGACATTGTCCGTCTCTGTGGTAGACATTGTCCGTCTCTGTGGTAGACATTGTCCGTCTCTGTGGTACACATTGTCCGTCTCTGTGGTAGACTTTGTCCGTCTCTGTGGTAGACATTGTCTGTCTCTGTGGTAAACATTGTCCGTCTCTGAAGGTAAACAATGTCCGTCTCTGAAGGTAAACATTGTCCATCTCTGGAGGTAGACCTTTCTCACCACTGGGATAAACACCGTCCGTCACTGGGATATCCACGTCCAGACCTAAGATGTATGATAAAAAAAAAACTCATTCAAGAACATTTGATTTTAGATATTAATGAGTCAAATTTATTCTTTAAATAACAATATCAGTACATTAACATCACGAAAACATATTTCGAACTGGTTAGTCAAATAAAACGCATTGCCACTATATGGCAGTCCCATTACACCCATTGACTGGGTTTAAAGGTATCATGCACGTGTTCTTTCCCGTTCTTCTGGTGGAGGCAGCAGATTCTCTCACATACATACTATCCTTACAGTTTGGAACGCAGCGCCTGAACGCAACTCTAAATTTAGAGGATAATAACCCATATATGATAGGGTTGCCAGCGCTGTTAACATACATCATGATCCTCGCAAAAGACAGTATATTCTGATAAGTTTCAAAGCCCATGTCCTGTAGGACGTTTGGAGGCACAAATATCACAAGGATGATCACGAGTCGCATCGGCAACAAACATAGAAAAAACAAGGCCATAATGGCGATAAGCATGTTGACGACTTGTTTCCGAGAGTTGATGGTTTTGCTGTTGGTGTAGTCTCCGGGGTAGTTGTCTGCCGTCAGGTGGCAAAGCTTGCAGATGATGCCGGCGTACATGAAGACCAGCATGCACAACGGAAGCGCAAACAGGAACACAAACACGAACAGGATGTACGTTCTCTGCCACACGCCGGACGTCATGGTGCGACACACTTGGACCGTCGAGCCGTCCACGTTGAAGGTCGCGTCCTCGATGAAGGTGATGAAGACGAAGGGCAGGGACATGACGTAGGAGACGAGCCAAATGACGGTGATGACGATGCAGGCGCTCGCCAGGTGGCACCCTCTGTGCTCCTTCAGGGGGTGACAGATGGCGAGGTAGCGTTCGAAGCCGATGGTGAGGAGGGTGAGGCCGGAGGAGTGGAGGGAGGCGTGTTCCAGAAAGGGGACGATCTTGCCTGGAACAGAACAAGAAACATTTACACGTCAGTGTTTGCTTGTTTGTTTTTTAACGCCGCACTCAGCAATATTGCAGCTTTCTGACGGCGGCCTATAAATAATCGAATACAGATCAGACAAAGCAGTGGTTGATGTTTTGAGCAACTACCCACGTCATTACTTGTTTGATAGGCATTACTTAGAAGATGACGGGTGACAAGGTAGACACAATTTTATGGATAACAACTTCTTTAATACTGTAAAAAGCAACGTTTCGGCTTTGATCCTTGTACCGTTGTCAGGACTGTAAGTAATGCCTATGAAACAAGTTATCCGTCGTTTACATGGAGACGTGGCAATCAACACCATCAACAGTCCTGCTTGACAACGGTATTAGGATCCATACCGAAACGTCGCTTGTGTCTACCTTGTAACCCACGTCATTAGTTGAATCACTGAGCCTGACCAAAAGATCCACTTTGTCGCGTCTTACGACCAGCATTGGGTGAGTGAGTGAGTGAGTGGGTGAGTGAGTGAGTGAGTGAGGGAATGAGTGAGTGAGTGTTACACATGAGTCAGCAATATATAAGCTGAAGGCATGACATTTTCATGATAACAACGTCTCTATTGATTTTAAACGTCACTTTCTTGTGACAAGGCGAATACTGAGGAAGGGGCAAGAAGATTCAATGAAACATTACAAAACATTAAAAAGATCTTATCATTAAAATGCGTTTCCTTGGTGTTCATTCGGCAATATTCCCGCAATATCACTGCGGTGGACACCAGAAATGGGCTTCACACATCGTACCCATGTGTGGATCGAACCCGGGCCTTCGTCGTGACGAGCGAACGCTTTAACCACTAGGCCACACCCGAGTTGAATGTAGACGAACCATATGGTTGTCTGGATATCAGCGTCATCCAATGGCGTCTATACTTAGTTTGACAAAATCAACCATTTGTTGGTCTGGTCTTGGTTCGACTATCCCCGGCCGCGTCATACTAAAAGACGTTAAAAGATGGTACTTGTTGTTACCCTGTCTGGCGCTCGACATTAAGGGGCTAAAACAAGGACTGGATGGCTCGGAGTCAGTATACTGTGTCTGAGTGGGGTATTCATGTTAACTGCGGCATTGTATCTCAGTGAGCTAGCACTATAAATCGGCATCAGTCCGGACTAGTACAAGCAGCCACACACACACACGTACATGCACGTCGCTATATAAGTGCAATAATCTTGGACGCAACGTTAAACCACATTTCACCTCACCTCACCTTGGTTCGACTATCTAATATAATTAGTATAACATGACCTTGGGTGAAATCTAAACAATTAATGCAGCGTGGATAATTTTGAACAGTTCAGCAGGTTTACTTTAGGAACTAATTAATTATATTTACATCAGTGATTAGAAAGTATAGACAGATAATTAAAACAAGCATTGTTGGTTAACATCAGATTCCGTGGTCAACCGCATATTGTGTGATCCATAGTTGTTCGTTCCAAGGTAGGAGGTGTAGCCTACTGGTTCAAGTGTTCGCACGTTCGATTCCCCACATGGGATCATGTGTTTACCTTTGTCTCTGCAGTAATATAGTTGTAATATCGCATAAAAACGGCGTAAAACTAAACTCACTCCTAACCAGGTGCCCTCTCATATGCATCTACTCAAATATTCCCATTTTGACCCTAAACATAAATACAATAATTTAAAGCGGAGGCAATATAGAAAAACCCTATTGATAAAAATACGGTAGGAAAACAGAAGCGAGGCTTCCAGTGATAAAATAAGTTACTAGTTTAGATATGAAATTGGCTAACATAATTGGCACCTTCTCTTGATTAAGCAGGTGAAATCAAGAACCACAATAAAACTCGCGATTTAGCCCAAGTCAGTGCTATGATTTAGCCCTGTTGTGTCTTCAAACATAGAACAGATAACCATATAGTCTGTCTCCCCGATCCTAGAGAAAAGAAAAGGAATCCAACTCAAGTCTAGAATGATTTGGCAAGTCAGATCGTGTTAGCCTGAAGTTAAGCATTGTTCTAGTCTCAATTTGAAATCTATTTTGTATTTTGTTGATATTTTATGTTAAATAAGATAGATTTATTTCTGGGACTAAATGTATCAATAACGGAATGATACACTATACTGACGCGTCTCAAATACATTTAAAAAGATTCAGTATTGGTAAAACAACCAAAGAACGTTTTTATTGTTATGAAAACTGTTTAAACGCAATCGTAGTTAAATATGGAAGGGAGATTTTACGAACGATTCGATGCCCGTCAAACTGTCAAACGCGATATGTCATCGCCGTGTTAGTGGGTTGATGCACCTATCAAGACAATTTATGTCTTCTCTGTGTGAAAATAGCACTCGATCAATATCTCAGTCCGACAGCAGACGAAGAATTACGTTTGGTGCCACAGAGGGTGATCGTGTTTCGAAGAGAATGGTGTCAAGATAATGTCAAATCCAACGTGACTCTACAGGGCAATGCAGTTAGCACACGTGCTGCGTTCTTGCAGCACATTCAAATTCTGTATTTGAAACCTGATATTCTTGGATATTTGGGCAATGCTTTAAAACAAAACGTAATTCATAGCATAGATCACAAACCGTTGATTTCCCTTATGGCTTGAAAACTCCTAATTGGAAGTGTGTCAAAACATCAATAACCAATTCTATGCGATAACGCGACAATGTCTCTTCTAGGATTCCATAGAATATATCCTGAAAAATATAATAATGGATCACTAGAATCCCCCGTGTACCTGTGTTCTTGGATGAAGTTTCTACGGCATTTAAAGAATTGATTTTAATCAGTTTTGAGTTTACGGAAGTATAAGCTTAAAAATCGGTGTGCACACGCGTTGCGGAGTGATGCAAAGAGTGTGCACCGGTTTTTCCGTTGATAACTCCATCACGCCAGCACATATTGAAGTCAGTTCTTAAAAATAGATACATCATTGCCTGCTTGATGATAGCGCTTAGTGGAGCTGATTGTTGTATAGCGACTCCTTTAAACAAATCCCTTGTGCGTAATTTCTTTAAAAAAACCGGCTGCTTTGAACTTTCCGTTATGTGAGTATAATGTGGCAGGGAAGCCCGAAGTGACGCAGGTCTTAGACCTTTACCATTTAGATGAAACCCACAAATACGGGTATTGTGCTGACAAACCTACAGACGTAATTAGGGCCAATCTGGGATTCAACCCCACGATCACAAGTCACACTCTACAGGGCGAATTCCCGTGCCTTAAACAATTGGGCCACCCGTGACTTCTCCTCCCATCTTGTTGGAGGAATTCAATGTTTAACAACCATTTCGACAAGTCAAAAGGGCCGCTCATACCCCCATCAAACACGATTAGAGGTGTCAATGTGTAGGATAAAACACGCCAGTATGTTTGAATGAGATTTGAAAGGATGTGGGATTTCAAACCCCGGATGAGGCCTCCGAACTTTCATTTATCAAATCCCAGCGATTATATATATTTTATCCCGGATATATTTTGTAACATCCCCGTATATGAGATTTCACCCATTGGAGAACATTAGGAGGATGTTACTGAAGCTGTGTGCCTTACAATGAATCCGATGTTATACCTGTTTAATCATATGAATTGCGGCAAAGCACAGTATTTACTAACTGTCCGGGATATTAAGCTATCATGATCTAGCATAGGTGAAGTATAGCATGCTGAGGTGACTGGGCTGGTCTAACGGCGCGTGGGGAACTTACACATTGCAACAGAGCCACCCTTGATACAAATCTAGCGCTAACCTTTCCTGTTCATAATTAAGCCGCTCTCTCCCAACAGAATAACTTTCCTGGGGTAATGGAGTATCTGACACGTGAATCGATTAAGGGATATAGTGATGAGGTTGATTATGCTATCAGATTCCTTCGGATGCCAGGATAAACAGGCGATAGACTCGCTACAGGCAACACTCGATATTATCTTTTCTCATTGTGATAAATGAATCTAATCTACTCCATGTACAGGGTAATACCTCGACAGGTTAAATACCCACGGAGTAACTAGAATGATTCATGGCCTCATTGCGTTGTTTCTTGTGTTTGTCACATGGAAGTGGACTAGAATTTGGCATATGAGAGAGAGAGAGAGAGAGAGAGAGAGAGAGAGAGAGAGAGAGACTTGTTAAGGTCTCATGTCTGTACAGCAATGTAAAATACAGAGTACACCTGCACGTACAAGAGCAACCCATGAAGTACACATAGGGACTACAACAACGGAAACACGAGGGAAGTGAATATATGATCACTATGATCTTGAAACCGTGAAAATAAATGGTCCCTTTGTGCCCTCTCAATATGCAAATGAGTTGAAATTTAGGCTTCATTGTGGGTACAGAAACGGTAGCGTTCAGACGTGAAATTGAAAATTAGAATCTGGATCGGTGTTATGTAGCCGTATCATGCGATGACTTATCCAGGTTCAAATAATTGCAATGAATAATTTACCTATTATCTGCTGAGTTTTCAAGATTAAAAAAAACAGCACCTAAATTAACTGTAATGATTCGATCTTGTGTGCTTTCTCCAATCAAAGATGTTAACCTTGAAAGTCGACCAAGAGTAGAGTACGTGCGGAACGACGTCATCTGTTTGCTGAAGTCAGCAGGCAACCCTCGTCTGCCGCATAAGGAGATAAGGGGAAGGGAGTTTCCCAATTTGGGAGCCTGGGTTTCAGGAGAACAACATCGAGTCTTGTTTTTCCAAGGCAGAGATGAAGGAGATGGCACGTGTCCTTCCCGCGAGAGTGTGAGTGGATGTGGGGAGGAAACGTACCACTGCACAACAAGATGCATAGCAGTTCATGGACATTCACAAAGTGGAGACCGCACCGTGGTGTAGTGGACAGATCATCCCGCAGAGAGGAAGATTCGTGGTTCAAACCCCTGACCGCGTCATTCCAAAATACGATCAAACACGTTCATAGATTGCACTTGTTGTTACCCTGCCTGGCGAATAAAGGGAATAACACA